TATTGGAAGTCCTGATGCACCGGTACTGTGAGAGCAAACGCTGTTATGGTCTTTCCGTTTTACTGTGCTGAGCAGTTCCCCTTTCCCACTCCTAGATGAGTGGGTATATATATATATTTCTTTTACTTTTATGAATGAAAGTGTACTGAAAAGAGAAGCAAAGACAGAAACCAGGGAGACAACAAACAAACAAACAAACAAACCAACCACCCAAGCTCATGGTCTAGACACCATGTAGGTATCTGTGGATGCACACGGAGCAGCTTCTGTGTACCCAGGCAAGCAGATTTTATTAGCATTTCTTCCACTATGCCTTTCACAAAGTGTGACACAATATACAATAAAGCAACTTTGTTGATTTCATTTTGCTCATTTAAAAGACAACCTATTTATGTTTTCTTTGGTTTAAACAAGTTTATTGGGGCATAATTTATATACCATAAAGTACACAATTAAATTGTTTTTACTATATTTGCAAAATTATGCATCCATTAACATAATCTAATTTTAAAACATTTTTTCATCACCCTGCAAAGAACCATCTTATCTATTAGTAGTCATTCCCTGGCGGCTTTCTGTCCCATCATAGGTAACTGCTAATCTACTTTTCTGCCTCTATAAATTGTCTATTTGGAACATAAATGAAATCCTATAATATGCAGTCCTTTGTGAGTGCTTTCTTTTCCCCAGCTTTATTGAAGTATAATTGAAAAATGCAAATTGTGTATGTAAGGTGTGCATCTTAGATTTTATACATAAGAATATTACATAGCTGGGTTGTACCAAATGTCATGCTTTGATCTGTATGCACTGGGGAAGGGTGAGCACACTGAAGCTGATTAACACATCCTCTGCCTCCTGTAGTTATTCATGTTAGTGAGAACATTTAAAAATCTACCTCGTAGCAGATCTTAAGGATATAATATTGTAACTGTAGTCGTTGTGTGGCACTTTCTGTCTCCACAGTATTTTCCACTCACATAACTAAAACTTTGTACCTGTTGACTAACATCTCTTCATTTGCTCAATTGCCTCTTGCTGCTGACAACCACTATTCCACCCTCTGCTTCCACGACTCTCAGGCAACCTACGATGCTTTGTTCAGCATTTGTCTTTCTCTACTGGACTGTTCCATTTAGCACAGTGTCCAACCATATCTCTCTCTCTCTCTCCTCTCTCTCTCTCTCTCTCTCTCTCTCTCTCTCTGTCTGTCTCTCACACATACATACACAGACATACAGACACACAGACACTCATATACACACACAGGGACATACAGACACACACAGACACACATATATACACACACACATACGGAGAGAGAGAGAGAGAGAGAGAGAGAGAGAGAGGCAGATGCAGGTGCAGATGCTCACACCGTGAAGAATAGGCAGGCTAACAAGCCCTCAAGTAAACAAAACTTATAGCAAACAACCCTCCCCACACCAGTGAGCAGCAACAGAACAGTGCTGTGTGCACTATGGTTTTCAGTGGAATTCTGCATTTGCTAACTTTATGCAGAAGTAAGTTATTATGTGAACATATTTTAGCTCTTCAGTCCTTGGCTGTGAGGAAAGGCATGGCTGAGAATGAAAGGAGGGCATTGACTAGGAATTTTCATTTCCTCTGACTACCAATAGGTTCTTCTTCTCAGAGGATCCATTTTTTTGTTGAATTTAATTAACAGAACAACAGTTTTGGATCCAAAAATGTTGACACTGATGGAGACACAGTGGCTCAGCCCTTGCTGCTGCTTGCTTAATCCCAGGTTTGTGCCCACTCTCAGAGGTCAGCGCTGATGAGCCCTCTTGAGTGGTCTGAGGCTTTCTTACCTGGAAGAAGAGATGCTAACAGAGGACCTGAAGCTGTGACATCCAACTTGGCCTTTCTTGCTACTTTTGGCAGAACTTTTACTTCATGCTGCCCATCTCCTAATCTGCACATGAAGATTGTGGTTACAATCAGTTAGTGATTATTCAATATGGCATATTCTTGCGGCAGTCCCCCTGGAGGTGATTACTCTGTGTCACAGGGATGAAATCCTTCACATGTGTCCTTTCTGTCCTGACTAACTACAGCAACATGGGTCAGTAGAGTTGACAAGTGATATTTTTCAATAATACTTAAAAAAACCTTACTATAAATTTAACAATAAATTCAGATAATATTCTAAGATTACACTAAAATGGGAATCACCAAACTACTCCTAGTGCTTAATCTAACTATGTACTTTAGATAGTAAAACTGAATACTGTGTCAACACCAGGGACTGAGTGTTCCTCCAGTCTCACAGAAGAGTCACAGAACTTGATGACAGACAAGCAAATATAGAGTTTCCTACCTTAATTCAAACAGGTAGCAATTATCTTTCTAGTTAGAGAATCAACTTCCACTCATCAGTACAAGTGACTGGAATTTACATATAATAAAGGCTGGTGATATTTTATGGGAAAAGTAAGAATATCAAAAGGAAAATTTGAAAATAGCTCTTCTTGGGAAGGCCAGGTGAATATGAATAGTTTCTGTGCATTTCTTATGACCACTCGATTAAGCCAGCTTTGTGTGTGTGACATGAAGTGCTAAAGAACAATTTTGACAGAATTTACAGTTAGTGTATATTTTGTTTTTTAGAAACATGTGAAGAATTTGAAATGTGATTGCTATACATTGACCTGGATTCTCAAGTTGCTGAGATGTGTGGACCCATTTGTCCTTAAATACACAAATAGAACTTGACATACTATTTACTAATCAATATTTATAAGCAACATTGCTATTTTAGACCAAGGAGCAACCCACATATATAGCACATATGTGATTTATCATATGCCTTCCCAATAACCTATTCTAAAATTAAATTAATAATTAAATTATTTAGGAAAATAAAGCCACTGGGACAAAACCAAGTAAAGGTGGCAGTAGAAGTATGTCCATTCAATTTCAGAAGATGGGCAGCAGGTAGGCCAAGAACCCTTCTCTCGGGCTTGAACTTTATCTGCTCCACTAAATACTTTTTTAGGGAAGCTGGAGGCAGCAAGGCAACTCATGTTACCAATGCCAGAAAGACCCAGGAATCAGGGGCACCTGCAAAGGGGGTAGCAGGTTGAAATGTGGACTTGGAGAATAATTAGACCCCTGATTTATTACTTACCCACATGACCAGGTGGACACCCCATCTCCAGTTGGGTGAAGTAGCTCAGTTTATGAAAGAGCATGGAGAAGGGATGACGCAGAGATAATAAATGAGTGCTGGATGGAAGCATATGAGCTGTTTTCAGTTGCTGGGTATCCTGGAGTTCTTAATATGATGGAGAAGAAACATCCACATGAAGATATGGCACTGGACTGCATGGACGTGGAGCCGACTAGGAGTCCATGAAGTCCTCTTAGAAGAGTTAACAATAGATTTTATAGAAAATGTCTGATTGCTAGAATTGTGTCTGAATTAGCATCGCCAGACACTTGAAGACTCTACAGGCCTCTGATGTGCCAGGGTGATGTAATGGATAGTTTGGCATTTATACCCAACATGTGGCTCTCCTGTGAGGGCTGAAAACAAAAGGTTTACCCTCATGAGTACTTGATAAACTTATCTGTCATAAATACTTTTTAATGAAGTAGCAGACACTGTATGTCTCTAACAGGGGGATGGTGGTGGTGACAGTAAATAAGGAAGTCAGGGAATTTAAGGTCCAACGTAAGGTAAAGAAAGACTTCCCACCAGTGTTCCAGGAAGTCCTGAGTGGTGTCTGTTAATGGTACCCAGAAATCAGTAGGCTGGACTGAAGCATGGGACGACTGAAAGCAAACACAAGCGTATCTATCTTTAGGTACAGAATAAGCATGCCACACTGACTTATTAGGAGGAGTTTTAAATTACTCTTAGAGGATGGGGTGCTAATTAGATATACAAGCAAAGAGACAAAACAATATGTTCCCTCAAATTAAAAATGTAGAAAGATAGGAAGTGTAATCAAAGGGTAGCACAGTTATAAACACCTTCTCAAAATCACAACATAAACATCAAACAGCAGCTTAAACCAAGATGGGCAGTACACATTGAAAGGTAGGAGAGGGTTTCATGAGTCTGTATTAAGGACATACTTTTTTATTTCTTTACATTTTATATTAATATCAATTTTATTGATACATATATATAACACAAATAGGTTGACTATGCTCTTTTATGATTTCTTTCTTTTAACATTATGTGTTTATAATTTAAAACATTCTAAAATTTAAATATATTTGATGATGTTTCCCCTCCCCAAAGTTCTTCCAGATCCTTCACCCCTCTCTACCCAGTCAACTTTAGTTCTTTCTCAAAAACCTAATAAAACAACAAAGCCCCCTTAAACCAAGAAAACAAGATAAAACACCACCCGAAAGACAACAATAGTAAACTGTAACCAAATAAAAGCACACAAAAGATGCAGAGTTCATTATATGTTGGCCAACTACTCTTAACATGAGAAGTGGTTGATATACCCAGTGTCACTCCATTGGAGAAAAATGATGTCCCCTCTTCCAGCAGGAATAAATCACAGTTCAGTTGTTAACCTTTATCCTAGTGGCTAAGTTTTCACTTATCAATCATTCATTTAAAAAAAAACTATAACAAAATACAATATAAGAAAACAAAAACTATCACATCAAAGTTAGAAAAGGTAAATCAACAGAAGAAGAAAAAAAGCCTAAGAGAAGGTATAAGAATCAAACCCACTCATTCACACTTAGGAATCTCATGCAAGCACAAAATCACGAGTCATAATATAAGCAGAAAGGACCTGGTGCAGACTCAATGCAGGCCCTGTGCATGCTGCTCTGGTGTCTCTGAGTTCATATGAGCTTTGTTCATGATGATTTAAAAGGGCCTTGTTTTCTTGAAGTACCCCATTCTCTCTGGTTTGCACACTCCTCTGTCTCCTCTTCCATGGGCTCTGAAGGGAGGGAGACATCCCATTTAGAGCTGAGTATTCCAACGTCTCTCCCTCTCTGTGTAATGTCTGGCTATGATCTTTTATATTTGTTCCCATCTGTAGCAGGAGGAGGTTTCTCTGATGATGCTTGAAAAAGACATTGATTTATGAGTATAGCAGAAAATCATTTAGAGTAATTTTATAATTACATTTTTTCCTTTTTTTGATCAATATTATTTGGTTTTACCCTAAGTCCCTGGGCTATCTAGTCTCAGATTCTCGATTACCAAAGCAGTATCAAGTATGGGTTCCATTTGGTGGAATGGGCCTTAATTCAAATCTGTTGCTGATTGGTTCCTCCCATAGCTTTAAGTACTACACCACTGTAGATAAAGGGCTGTGCTTGGCTTGGTGTGTATGTTTCTCTTTTATAACATGGAGAGTACCTTAGGAAGACAATTTCTAAAGTGGGGTGAATCTGAAAATAACAGTATAAAGATTCTATTTAAAATGCATATAAATCCGGGCGGTGGTGGCACACGCCTTTAATCCCAGCACTTGGGAAGCAGAGGCAGGTGGATTCTGAGTTTGAGGCCAGCCTGGTCTACAGAGTGAGTTCCAGGACACCCAGGGCTACACAGAGAAACCCTGTCTCGAAAAACAAACAAACAAAAAAACCAAACAAAAACCAAACAAACAAAAACCAAATGCATATGAACCAAGAAGAATCATGGTATAAGAGAGAGAGGAACTAGTGTAACCATACCTGTTTGTAACTACTTCTATAATGCATGCTCAAAAAGTGCATGCAAACTTTGTTTACATTGGTTTTATTTCCTGTAAAGCCCCTTTCTCCTCCATTAAGCACATGCAAACTTGTTATGTTTAATGCTTTTCTAGTCCTTTTTTTTTACTTCAAATAGGAGTTTCTTGTGCGCACGCATACTCTCCATTGGCGGCCTTTCTCTACAGAACTATCAAGCAGGGCTATCAATGTATCAGATATGATCAATAAGGCATTCTTTGTTTTGTAGGGTGGAGAGCACTGTTACTATCATGGAAGCATCAGAGGTGTCAAGGACTCCAGGGTGGCTCTGTCGACCTGCAATGGACTCCAGTATGTGGGAATCTTCTTGGGTCCTCCTGACCTCCAGGCTTGTTCATATCCATTCACACTCAGCAGTTTTTATTTTCACATACTTTATATTAGTGACTTTTCTATGTCAGTGATATGTTGAGGACTAGCTATAGAGCAGTTCTAGAGAGCTAAAGTCCCCTTTTCTTTAGCACCTAGACTTTGCAGAAAACTCAGAAATTAAACAAATAATTACATAGGTAATTGGCGCCCATTTTGGTTGATGCTATGAAGGAAGGGATAGGGATATAGTAGCTTTCTGAGATAATCAACATGTAAGAGAAAAGGATTAATTTCTTTCAAGCTTGGAAGTTTGAATCCATGATGGCTTGACCTCATTACTTTGGGGCACTTGTGAGGAACCACATTATTGTGAATTGAATGTATGTTGTGTAGGAAAACTGCTCACCATTGAAACTGCTCACCATTGGCAAGGGGAGATAGTGAGGATACTGAAGTCCCACAATGCCCTTCAAGGGCATTTCCCCCACCCCCTGCCATAAGCTAAAGACTTCTTATAAGGCACATGGTGATTACTTCATGATGATTCCACTGCCTGCCAGAAGCACCACTCTTAGGGGAAATCATATCCTTAGTCGTGGATCTGATGAGGTATTTAAGACCCAGACTCTAGTCAGAAGCTTACAGAGTGACTCTGTCGAGTTGACACATGACCTACAGAAATATAGCAAAGGTCATCAGTTGGATTAGATCTTAGTCTACCAGGTATCAGTCTTGGAAGGATGGGACAGTAAGAGGAACTCATCCATTGTCTGGAGGCAGACTCATGGAGACCATGCATAAACACATTTTAGACCCAAATCAAGTGATGCTTAGAATGAAGACTTAGCTTTAGACATGGGTCTTAAAACCCATTTCAAATGTTATTTTAAAAAACTCTCATATCTCCCCAAGTTAAATGTGTTTTTTTAGTGACACACTAGGAATTCACAATTTACAAGTGAAAAGGTATTCCTGCTAGCCTCTTCAGAATCAGAGATGGTCTTAGAATATTCTTAGACAATGGGGCCGTCAGCTTCCTTCTATGTGATATATAATTTCCTTGTACTAGTTTCATACAGTTCTGAAATAAGTGATTTTTCCCTACCTTGTGAGAGATCTTATTCCAGATCAATACTGTCATAAGTTTATTTCTAGAAGTAAGTTACATCATGTAGCCTTTGCATGCTCCAGGGGAATGCTTTACATTGTTGTGCTTACATGCTTGCACGCTATCTAGTGGAGTCCTTGGAGTGCTGAGACCATGGCAGGTTCCATGAAGCTATTGGGCATTTATCTGGGACTGTATGAAGACTTTGCTCTGAGGCACTCTTTCATGACACTGTCGAGATGGTCACATGCCTGTTTACCACATTTACTGACTCTCCTCCTGGTGTCTTGTCTTACAGTGGCATGTTTGAGGACGACACCTTCATGTATATGATAGAGCCTCTGGAGCTGACTCATGATGAGGTAGGTCTGTGATACCAGTTTCCTTATGGTATTTGATTTTTCCAACATGTGAAGACAAAACACATCAAAGATCATTTATTCGTGCTATGTGATGTCACACTTAGACTGGTACAAGGCCAAGCCCTCATGCCAGTGAGGCCAGATCAGAGGTGTGATGCTGAGGTATTTTGAAGCAAGCCCATTCTTTCCAGACTTTGGAGAGAACAGGGAGGGCCTTTGTTTTGCACTGGGCAGCCTGGACTTCATTAGAACAGCTCTCATTTCTACCGTCTTCTTTAGATAATTGTGTTGAATGTACTTAGTTTCTGTTACTAGAAATACTTACTAGGGAAATCCGTGGTCTAAACAATGTCTGCATGATACAGCATACAGTTCCAGATGGAGAAGAAAGCAGTGTTTCATCCTGTACAGGTCAACAACCATAACAAGACACCCTGTGTTCCTACCACGCTGTTTACTGACAGCAGTCCTTACAGTCTAATACAGAGTTGTCAATATTATATTGAAAGCTACTACAGATTACATTCATGATAAAATTGATATCCTGAGACTCATGATGAGGATGCAAAAAATCACACACGGCATTTCAGATGGTGGCACCTGCTAAAGAGAGCAAAGAGCCACTGAGGTGAGGAGGAGTCTTGAGTAAAGGCCACAAGGGGACTAAAACATTCCCAGAGCTGTGATGATAACAAAGGCTCTAGCATGGGTGGAGATTGGCAAGTGAAGACACAATGAGGTCACAGCAGGGCAAGTGAGACCTAGGGAGGGAACTTTAATGAGAAAAAAACTATTTTTTTAAAGAGCAATGATCAGAATAATGCAGTCATTTGATGGAGAGCAGAAAACAGGTTTGGTGGGACACAGGGTGTCACCATGCAGCCCAGGCCAACTGAATGTTCCATGTGTTTTCTCATGTCCAGATGGAAACATTAAAAAAAAAATCTTTCTTTGAAAAATATAGTAATCACTGAGGCTGTTAAAATATGTATCCATCCATCCATCCATCCATCCATCCACACATACATATACCTGTACATATATACATTATATATTACACACACGCACGCACACACACACACACACACACACACACACACGCTCATTGTGTATGAGTGTTCTGTGTGTTCTGTTTGAGGAGCCCAGTAAAGGGCTTCAGAGCCCTGGGAAGTGAAGTTACAGATGCGTGTGAGAATCCATGTGGGTGCTGGGAACTGAACCTGGGCCTCTGCAAGGGCAGCAAGACCTCTCAACTGCTGAGCCATTTTATCAACTCTGACATTTAGACTTTGATAATAAAAGATAACATTTATTTTCTTGTCTGTATATGTGTGTGTGCAATATATTTATATATACATTTATATAATATAAAATATATAACACACGACTATGTATTTATATAATATACATATCATCTAAATGTATATATTTTATTTATATATAAATACATTATCTAATGTATAGATGAAAATAAATTTATATATTTACACACACACACACACACACATATATATATATATATATATATATATATATATATATATATATATATAAACACTATGAGGTAACTTTTCAAATTTAAGACAGAAAAAAACATTAAATTGTACCTGGTGATAACAATATTTGAACAAGCCTGTATGGGTTTTGATCAGTAACTTTAAAATTTTCCAGAGAGTGATGACAGTTTAGCCTTGATTAAGACATTTTGATGAGTAAAATATGCTCCCTGTTTCATGGGCAAGCAGATAACCATCTTATGACAAAACTGCCAGACATCCAGACATTCACCTGACTGTTTACTTTGAGTAACTGCTCCCTTACCTTTGTCACAGAAGAAACCCCGAAAGGAAAACAACAACAATAAATCCAAAATAGTCCTCTAAGCTTTTGTATTTTAAGGAAGTATAAATGGGGTAATTTCCAGTACATCCATAATAAGATAATTTTTGCAGATGGGGTGGATTCATAAATGTGTTGCAGTGTGTCTGCTGAGCTGCTACAAGGATTTATGTGCATAGAAACGCATATTATCAAAATGTTTAAGGAACTGGCGCTTTGTTCGTTGTTCTAGCTGTGACTATGCTGCTGAGGGTGATGGTTACCTGCTTATTATCTTCTGTTTCCTGCTTCCTCCTACTGCCTCCCTTTTGTTCTTGGTGTGATTTGCTCTCATTCGCACTGCACTGTGGGTGGAGACAAACCAGCAGAACTTGGCTCTTTTTTTTTCTTTTTCTTTTTTTTTTTTTTTTTTTTGGTTTTTTCGAGACAGGGTTTCTCTGTGCAGCCCTGGCTGTCCTGGAACTCACTTTGTAGACCAGGCTGGCCTCAAATTCAGAAATCCGCCTGCCTCTGCCTCCTAAGTGCTGGGATTAAAGGCGTGTGCCATCACTGCCCGGCTAGAATTTGGATCTTTAAATTAGTTGCAAAAATCCCGTTGCAGGTTCACAGGTGAATATCACTTTGCTAGGTGTATTTTCATCTGTTTCCAGAATAAAGAACTAATTAGAATAGAATTTGGATTTTTGGCTGTTCATATTATTATTATTATTGATTTTAGCATTCTTTGTAGTAAGTCGAAAGTATGGACATAATAGCTCCAGTCAGAATTCACATTCAATTGCAAGTAGAAACAATTAGTAATATCCTTAATTATTATTTCTATCAAATCTAATAAGAAAAGCCTTTTTAAAAAGCCATTTTTATGATTATAAAACTAATACATTAATTGAGTGTGGTATTTTATGTCTGTAATCACAGCTACTCAGGAGTCTGAAGTAGAAGGCTTAGTTCAAGGCCAATCTGGAAAACTTAGTGAGACCTAGTTTCAAAAAACAAAACAAGCAAATGAAATAATAACACCAAAAACAGAAAAAGAAAGAAAAAGAAAACGAAACCAGAAAACAGGCTAGGTATTGCTTAGTGGAACAGAACTAATTTACTATATATGTGACTTTGGGTTCAATTATCAATATTGCAAAAGCCCCCAATCTAATGATATGTTAAAAAATTTGAAAAGCTAAGTAGTAATTATCCATCATACCATCCCCAAAGATAATTTACCACCTTTTAGCAAATATTCACAAAATTTCTCCATTGCATATTTCCATATATATTTTAAATAAATGAATTGTTTCATTGTTTCATAGCACAACCTAACCCAATTATGTATCTTTCTGAATCTCGGTATTTTTATTCGTTAAGTAGAAACATGATGGTTGATCTTGGTTGTCAACTTGACCCACCCAAGAAGAGGGAAACTCAGATGAAGACCAGTCTCCATGAGAATGGCCTGTGGGCATGTCTGTGGGCCATTTTTCTATTGCTAACTTTGTAGAATGGCCAAGCCCACTGCAGGTGACACTGTTCTTAGACAGGTGGGATAAATAGGTATCCCTGGACTGTATAAAAAGTTAGCTGAGCAAGCCAGAGGATCCAAGCCAGTAAGCAGCATCTCTCCATGGTCTTTGCTTCAGTTCTTCCCTTCAAGCTCCTGCTTGAGTTCCTGCCCTCATTTTCTTCCATGATGGACTGAAACCTGCAAGTTGGAATGAACTCTTTCCTTCTCAAGTTTGTTATGATCAGTGTTTTATCATAGCAACAGAAAGCCACCCAGGAAGGGATGGAGTACAGGGTACATGGACTTTTGTTGGGAGTAATTTGCATAATACACATATCAACACTGGTTGGCAGAAGCACTGAGTGGTAAGCACTCAGCCCTTAATACCACTTCCGCTTCTGACAATGTAATGGGACTGTCTAATTTCTAGGCCAAAGGGTATGAATATCTTCAAGGTTGCTTATGGAAATTATTAAAAATCTTTCTCAAACCATGTTACCAGTGATGCATGAGTACATTCTGCCTTGCAGCTGTAATTAACTACAGATATCATAATTTTTAAATCACTTGCAAGTTGATGGGAAAATTGCGGTTTCATCTTTTCAAATTTTATGTTTTAAAAGTGTATAAGAGCACCAGGGTTGTCTCATGCTGGTGGACAGGCGTTCCTTTCCTACGCATTTCCCACTTGGGGCTTTGAAAGAAGCTGAGATTAAAGAGCAACTGACAAAACAGTGCTTTGATCTGAAGTGGGGCAGTTGAAGGGTGCTTTTTCATTTCAAATTAAAGATTCAACAAGGCATACCCTCTTCCTTCCAATATCTCATGTCCTCCTGTAAGGAAGGATATTAGAAGAAGCATTACGCAAAGCACAGTTCCATAGAGTCATAGAGGTGTCTTCCTGTCTTACTTTTTCATTTCCTGCAATTGTTTTTGTTTCAGAAAAGCACAGGCCGACCACACATAATCCAGAAAACCTTGGCAGGACAATATTCTAAGCAGATGAAGAATCTCAGTAAGTCTTAATTAAAATAGCCGTGATATGTGTGGGGGTGTGACTTGCAGACCCCTGTGGATATACAGGCTTGTTCAGGAGGGAAATTGGTCTGAGAGCTCAGGTCAGCTGTGTGGGTGGGGAGTGCAGTCTCAGCTGAGCCTTGTGTGGGATGAGGCTTGGAGAATTGCTTCAGTGGAGATGACAAATAAAGCTCCAGCATGTAGCTGGGCTTGGAATCTGAGTGTGGTCAAATGTAAATGATTACTGCAGGGCCAGGCTTTAAACCAGACTTTCTGGTTTGCCCTTCCCCAGCTCTTTTTGCATCACCTCTCCTATTCACCCTGTCCCAAGCATCTTTAGTACACTGATGTTGGCAAAGGCTTCTTTTGGTTTCCTGTGGGCATGTGATACTATTCCTATATACTAATGCCCAGAACCTTTGACAATTTACACAAAGCCCTATGCCACATATCATTTTAAAATCTAAAGTAAATTGGGCATCCATAGTAGAGTTCTTAGGCTATTGCTAAACGGTTGTGGGTCAGATAACCGTCTTCTAATCAACCTTGGGCAACTCACATTTTTCATGATGAGAAGAAAATAGCATTTGAACTGTCTTTGTGAGTGTGAAATGTTGAACAATCAATGCGCTGTTTGACTGTAGGCTATTTGGGCTCTGGGATGACATTCATTATTAATGGCACTGTTCCTTCGTGTAATATTTGAAGACTATTCTCAATGGAATGCTGTCCGCATCCATTTGACGTTAATTTCCCTCTTACACAGGCACAGATGGCAGTGACCAGTGGCCTTGGCTACCTGAATTACAGTGGCTGAGAAGAAGGAAAAGAGCAGTCAATGTGAGTGTAGCCTGGGGCCACAGCATGGCTCCTTCTCACTCCCCATGCTCCCTCTGAACCTTCCCCTTCAAAACAAAAACAGCACAGAGAAGCTCCATCTCTTGAGGATTTTCAGCATGATGCAATTTATTCTTCCCTCCCTGTTAAGGATTCAAACTGATTAGAGTGCACTGTGACCCCTGATGTCATGTAAAAAATATGTTGTTTTAGTTCTGTCTTCGATGTGTTTTTCTTAGGACAATTGGAGGGCAGTTCCCTCCCACCCACTATGGAAAAGCACAGTAGGGTTGGTGAGATGGCTAAGTAGGTGAAGCTTGGTACCCTGAACTCCATCCTTGTGACCACCTGGCCGAAGGAAGGAGAGAACTGACTCCAGTAGTTGACCTCTGGCTTCCCCACGCATTCACCCTCCCCACACAACCAAACCAAACCAAACAACACACAAACAAACAATAAAGAAACTGCACCACAGCTTTAGAGTAATCTGGCTTCTACAATATCAAATAGAATATTTCTGTTTAAAAAATTGGCTAATCAAGTTTATTTTTATTTCTTCCAAATGAAAAATTCTATTATACCAAAGTTGAAATCTGAATGTGTTTTTTTAGACCAAAATGACACAATTCCATACCCTTTATTGGCAATATGACAGTGGCTAAATAAAAGTCCTGAGACTGCAAAACCAGTAACTGTTACATGCCTTTTGTGCACTGGTAAATACATAAGGGCATTGTAACTAAATATGTAGTAGGTTAGAAGGCAGTAATGATTGGGACTGTTTAGTAATTACATGGTGAATGCCATGGAACCAAGAATTAATTCTGCAGCTTATAGGTTACATAGTAATTCACTAGATGACTTAATGAATAATTATAGCACAAATTATACATTTTAGATAATACTTAGTTGAATGTATTTGTGTGTGTGTGTGTGTGTGTGTGTGTGTGTGTATGTGTGTGTGTGTGTGTGTGTGTGTGTGTGTGTATGGGTGTGTGTTAAATGAATTAGACACCCCAGCAATCTAAAAGTTAGTTCAAGTTTGAATCATCTTCTTGCATAGTGTACATTGGCATTACAATGGTAATGGCATTACATGGTAATCACAAATACAATTTCTTTTTGTTCACTTAATCAGAACTCTATGCTTCCTCTCGAAGATGCAGTTGGCTTCTGTGGCTTTCTTTTCACCACAGTGTGCCCCATACTGAACTGTTACTCAGTACACAATGAGGAACCATCATCATTACCTCTTCAGCTATGAGAGAATATGTGTGACTGAGAAGTAAAATAGTCTTTATTCCTAAAGTGCTATCTGTCGGCGTTTGTTCCTGTGAGGGGCTGGAAATTGGAACTCTGTCAGATGCCTTTTATTCCAGACCTCTAATTCTTATTGACCACCCTGATGTGATTTTAGAGATGCCTGCTGTTCTCTTGAGATGAATTTAAAGTGAATTCCCTTTGACATTTTAAGTAAATGTGAATATTTTGCTGTTATTACTATAGAAAAGGAAATTTATTTATTTTTAGCTATCATGCCATTCCTTTTCCTTTAGAGTAATTTCACATGGTAAACCACACAGAAACCCTATGAACTATTTCTCATTTTGGTAAGGAGAGTGACACTGTGTTTCTCTAGCTGCTTCTTTGTTCAGTGACACTTTATAGTCACATAATGAGCAACTGCTTACCAAGCATCTTTTTTGGGTATCTATGTAACAGGCAGTGAAGTCCTGGAATTCAAGGCTAAGAGATATTGTATGTTATCCACTGTTCTAACCATGCATTTCTAATTTTCTTTAGCCATCGCGTGGTGTATTTGAAGAAATGAAGTATTTGGAGCTTATGATTGTTAATGATCACAAGACGGTAAGAATATAAAATCATTGCTGTTTTAGTTACTGTTCTATTGCTGTGAAGAGACACTATGATCAAGACAACTTATTAAAAAAAAGTTTTTAATTGGGGCCTTGTTTACAGCTTCAAAGGGTGAGTCCATGATCAACATGGACAGGTAGTTTAGTGCAGCAGCAGGCAGGTAGGCATGGTGCTAGAGCAGTAGAGGCTGAGATGGTCAGACAGACAGACAGACAGACAGACACACACACACACACACACACACACAAAAAGACATACAGACACACACAGGTAGGGAGAGAGAGAGGAGGGGCTGACATGGGCTCACCCTCAGTGACTCATCTCTTCAAAATAGCTCATACATCCTAATTCTTCCTAAAGAAGCTCCTCCAACTAAAGACAAAGTGCTCAAATAGATGAGCCTATGAGGGCCATTCTCATTCAAACCAGCGCAGAAGCCTGATAGCTTGTTAAACAAGAAATGCATTTTACTTTGATATAGCTATTGTTTGTAACTTTGTTAAGTCCAGATGTTTAGACACAATTATTTGGTGGTTCTAAATGAACACCGTGTTTCTAGATGAAGAAGAGACAATAACTTTATGGAATTTTGACAGCTCCAAAATTACCTCTTTAATAGAGACTTATAACGGGTAGATTTACCAATATGATGCTTTTCACTTGTCCATGTTTAAAATCCTTGCTCTCTACTTTTCACATCTGTGTGCTTGGCCACTGGTTCACTATCCTATTCCATGCTTTTGTTATGAAATAGTCACGCATGAGGCTCTGGGTTCCATCCCTCCCAACCCCCGCACTGAACATACAAACAGACAAATGAAACATCTATCTAAAGAGACCCTTTAAAACCAGTAGTTTGTTGTTCTGAATATTGATAATATAAATAACGTTGTGTTACACCTGTGGGAGTAACATGCGCTGCACTCTGGTGATGCTTAAGAGAAATGTTTGGACAGAAACACCAAACTCATTTGTGTCTATTCTCCACTTAGCCACTTCCATCATCAGCACCTGAGCATCTTGGCTGTACACTACTGTGCTCGGTTCTCTTGATGTGCTGGTAACCTCTCTGGTACACTTCTCCAGTGCTAGCTCATCTCCAGTGTGTCAAGCTACTAAAGTGAGACCATTAATTGAAGCTAGGCAAGGATGTGGCAAAGTGGTTCTCTTGAGCCTTTTGCATCAGGCCCCACCTTGGCCACAACCCTAATCTCATTAGGTCGGTGATTATTGTGTTACAGCTACGCAGTTTAATTCTAAAGATTGCTCATTAAGAGTGGAGTTGAATTTTTAAAGACTCCATGCTTTAAAGTCAGATATGGGTAAAACCCTTATAAAATATTAGAATACAATTTTAAGTTTCATTAAGTCCTTGTTATTTTAAGGAAATCAGTTAGTGAGCTATATGATAAAGTTGTATTTTGTATTAAATTGACAATATGAAATTCCATTCGGCTCAGTCTCCTCAGAGAAATCCGTGAAACTATATTTTACAAAAGGTTTAATGTATACTTAAATTTTTAATTGAGTCTTTTACTTTAATAGATATTTAATTACTATTAGTTACTAAGTAGTAATTCAGTTGTGTTGAAAATTATTTTTCCCCCATGGAATTCTTTACATTTTTAGTAGACAGACTTAATTTTCTCTTTCAGCCTTTAAATAAATTTCTTGAGATATAAGAATAAGAAGGAAAATGTTTTGGAATTACATATAACTTAGGAGAAATCTTCTCTGGTAAGGAAAACCAAATGTTCATGTGGTGACTTGTGCTTAGAAAGGCTTAAATCTGAGTTTCTGAAGGGTATTGGTGGGGCTGTCTTCATTTGAACCTCCTTTTCTAACTGAGAGTTTTCCAGCTACTTTTCAAACCTGATGACTGTGGCAAGTTATGCAACTGTGTCTTTAAAAGTCTGAGCTTTTCCTAGCATCCATTATACAAATCTTGTAATGTATGGATAACTGTATCGTATCTGTACATCTGTGTACAACATTGTTGAACATACAAAGTGAAGTTCTTCCAGATGAGTAGTTGAGAACATTATTTTATTTACTATTAGTGTGTGTGTGTGTGTGTGCGTGTGTGTGTGTGTGTGTGAGAGGGGGGGGTGGGAAGAGGAGAGAGCACAGGAGATAGTGTCACAATGTACCCAATTGTACAAATAATGCAATAGCACCGTTCTCAAAAAACATGGTCTCTGCAGAGAAAACCTTATTTGCTTATACCACATATTTGGTAATAAAAATCATCTTATTTGGGGTACCATGTTTTTTAATTTAAGTTGTTTTAAACATTTATGTAAACATCAATTCATTATTGTGTGTGTGTGTGTGTGTGTGTGTATGATGTGTGTGGTTGTAGGCATGGTGTGGAGGTATCAAGCCCCTTGTTGCTGCTATGCTAGTAATTCTATCTCCACTTCCCACCTCAACATCGAGGTGCTGGGATTGCAGGTGCATGACACCACTTCTGACTTTTTTTTAAATATGAGTTTAGACACTTGAATTATCCTCAGGCTCGCCTGGCAAGCACCTTTACCCACTGAACCACTCACTGGCCCACATCTTTTAATTAAAAAAGAAATCCAAGTTTTTAAATGAACAATATTTGCGTTTTCATTTCGTTACAGTATATCGAATGAAAACTGAGCATGATATTTTAATGATAAATTTGGGGATTGGGTTTTAAAAATGCAAACAAATAACAAACCTTGATTTTTGAATGATAATAATGCCTAAGATAGAAAAAACTACTGAGAGTCTCTAGCATTTAAAGAGTTATTATTTTGGGCCAAAAGCACTAAACAATTCCTTTGCTATAAGAGTAGATTACATCCCGTCCTACAGTCGTCCCAAATAAATATTCACTTTTAAGACCCCCTCATAAGAGTTGAGAAAATCCCTGCTTTTAGAGGTAATCCTTCTATCAAATGAAGTTTTAAAATATTATCGCTGCAAAGATGCAATAAATGACTAGAGAGCAGTGTAGCGCACCTCGGTGCCGCAAGCAGACCGAGCTAGGATAAGTGAATACGTCAATTTCCAGCATCTGGAGATTTGCTGCTGGGCTTGGCATAATCATCCCACCGAGGAGCCCCATCTCACAGTGTTTGTACTGTACGAGCCAGCGGGGCTTTATAATTCTTACCTTTGGGTTGAAAATAAGGTTCAGCTTTAATTGTTTTCAAAAGGGCACGTTTCTTAAGGGGCTCATTTATCCAGGAGGTGAAAGCCAATTTGCCGGCTTAAATGGAAATGGTTTTCAGTGATCAGAAAATGTGAAGGTAAGTTTTATCATAAGATGGAGCTCGCACATTTTTCTTTATTTGCCAAATTAGTTCTCATTCATGCAGGAAATGGAAACATTTTGCCTACATTTGCATTCGAGCTTCCCTCTCTAATATTGGCCGCCTGAAAAATTGCACCTCTCGTGTTTTGAACAAGCAGCCCAATTATCAGAGGCTTTCAATTAGAAAGAAAAAAAAATCTCTCAAATTTGTAGAAAGCATCTTGGTACCTAGCTGGCAGAACCTAATTTGTGAGCAATTATAGCTTGATAAAAGTCTGCAAACATTTCCTTGAGCTGCTTAAGCTAAAAATAAATATTAAAAACTGCCTAATAAAAAATTGGTTGGGATATTTTAAAGCACACGTAAAGCAAGTGTTTTGCTTGCATTACTGCCGCGTTATTAAATATGAGCCAATAAGGTGCAAATCAGCAATGACTCAAATATTTTTTCAATTAAAACCTCATTTGGTTTTCCTTATTTAAAAACCACTGTATTTTTTAATGGACCAAATAAATTATGGATTTTCATCAATAATTCTGACTTGTTGGGGAGGGCTACATTAATAAGCAATAGTTTATAATTATTTCATAAGAATTATTAACTGAATAAGTTAATTTCTTCTTCTAGCTCAGAGAAGGACAAACTTTTGTTTCAGCCTCGTGATCCCAGATAAGTTATTTGAGGATAATAAAGCTCACTTCATGGTGTTGTAAGGAGTGGATGTTTGTTGTGGGGTGTACATAATTTCTCATAGATCTTGGGTGCCTAGTGAATAGAGCTTCGAGTTAAAAATAGTGTTTACTTTGTGGGGCTGGGAACTCAAGTTCTTCTGCTTACTAAGCAAGTACTCAGTCACCAAGCTTCCCCCCAAGTCCTTCCTCTCTTACCAACACTGAATACAGTTGATCCTCCTCCTCCTCCTTCTCCTCCTCCTCCTCTTCCTTTTCTTCTTCCTCCTCTTCCTTTTCTTCCCCCTCTTCCTCTTCCTCCTCCTCCTCCTCATCATCATCATTTGAGAACAGTTTTCATCTCTTCTGGTTTCTGTTACACAGTAATTCTTCTCTCTCTGCTATTCCAGTTGTTTAATATCCGACCCTTAGATCATGTTTGGAAACTTGGCTCAGGACTCTGTCGTCATGCTCTCTTCCTGACTGACAGCTTCCAGCTTCAAGATCTAAGTAGGATCATGATTGAAGATCTCTGAGCCCTTCCTTTAGAGCTTTAGATTTCTGAGTTCCATACTGTGAACTTGGTGTCTTTTCTTTGGTACTGAATAGACAGCTCACATTTGGCACCCCTAGATAACAGTTCAAAGTTACTGGACTGGTTCCAAAATGTCTTTTGAAATTCATGTGTCAGGAACTGTCCTCAAATTCACATGGTGGTGGTATTTAGAGGTAGGGACTCTGAGAAGGATATAGGATTATGTGAAGTAAAAAAAAACATGATTTTTATTGTGTATTAAATACCTTCATCTTTCTGAAAGATAGGATTGATTTAATAAGTATATTAAAGACAAATTTTAAACATGTGGTACAAAAGAATCACCAGTTTAAACCATGTTTTTCTTTTTACTCATGGTTATAGGAAGAATAATAGCCTCATGGAGTAGTCCATGGTGTGGTGTTTCTACAATTGACTTAAGCTCTCACATATTTCCTCTTCAACATAAGTTGAGCAAAGTGTCTGACTCCTTGATAAAAATCCAGACCCTTAGTGGGGAATTGGTGACCAATGATAGCCCACTCGCTCTACAGTGGTAGAGTATGAAGTCTTTGACTGTGTCTCCCCCAAACAGCGACCTCCTCCAACCCCAGACAAATGTCCCTGGGTGTTTTGTTCTGTTCTTGAGATTTATTTTGTGCAGATCTTTAATCTATCAGTTCAAGGGATCCTCCTACCCAGTTTCCAAAGTTTGGGATTATAGGTGTCCACCATGGTTCCAGGCCCAGAGGTTGACGTGGAGAATGATTTTGATAAGTTTTCTTAAATAAGTATACACAGTCATTATTGTTTGGCATGCCTCCTTTTCCTTTTTGACTTTCTTTTTTTTTTTTTTTTTGGCTTTGGTTATCTAGAATAAAGGCTTGCTCTAGGAGTGGTATCCTTGGTGGGAAATTGACTAAATGCAGGACAAATACTTCCTGTCATGGACAACACTACACGAAATGCTACATGAAAAGAAATGGTCTTGTCTTGGGCTTGGCCTTGAGTTTAAAGTGAGAAAGTTGTACAGATGAGACTAAGTTTTGGTCTAAGCCCTTTGTAAATGGTAAAGATTCATATTTATGAAAGCAAGAGAACTGAATAGTAGCTGTTAAGACTGAACTAAAATCTGAGTCTGAGACAGAGTTTCTGTGCATGCATCTATAGGCCCCTTCAGGCCTTGGACATGTTTTACAATTTACTGCCTGGGTTTGTGTTGTAGAGAAAGGAAATAAACAAACAACAAACAAACAAACACATAAAAGCAAAACAGCATCACCGTATCCAGCTTGGCACAAAACAGTTTCTGATCTTTTGAGTCATGTTTCTAGCATCTCTCAGAAGTTTCTGTTTCTGAGAAATTTTTGACATGAGTGTCAATTAGGACTTGGAAGTGACTGGTCCATCTTCTCTTCCCCCCAGTATAAGAAGCACCGCTCTTCTCATGCGCATACCAACAACTTCGCAAAGTCCGTGGTCAACCTTGTAGATTCTGTAAGTAGCCTGGTTTCCTTGAAACTTTTTTGTTAATTCAAAAACATGGCTCATATCTCTTTCTCTGTGGTCAGTAATAGTGTTAGCTATTTCTTGGATGAAATGAAACAATGTGTTTATAATGTTCCCATGGTGAAGAAACTGTTGGATGGAGAGCTTTGTAAGAAAATACAGTCTGAGGTTCAGAATTCTCAGACTTCCCAAGAAGCTTTAGCATTTTTTTCTTTCTTCTAAGCATATTGACTTTCATTAATTATCATTTTAATTCTATGTATCTGTGGGGTGCAGTGAAATAATTCGATACATGTGTACAGTATCTAATGAGCAAATCAGAGTAGCTAGCATTGCCACCTCCTTAAACAGTGAGAAATTTTTATTAACCCGCAGTAATTGTATAGCACTGCCTCTGTTATTACCAGAGTCCATGGGGGATAAAGTGCAACGGAGAAAGACCGTAAGGCCTGGAAATTATTCTCAGTAAATGAGGCTTTATTAATAACTACTTGAGCTTTTCCTAAATATTTTTGCGTAAGTAGAGAAGCCCTAATGGATTGAGGCAGCGTGTGCTAAGAGGATTCAGATAGATGAAAATCTCAAGGCTGTGTATTTATTATCCTAGTTCTCCCAGGGTGGAATGCTTCAGCCTTACTTTCTAGTATTCTAGGTGATAGAATTAGGTGTCATTGCCACACAAAATGATTTGGAACAATGAGATGTCTACTTCCTTCTGAGGGGTGTGACCCTACATGCCCTCACGACTGACATGCTTTTCCCCTCGTGCCACTTCATAATTTCCAAAGAATGATCATTTAGATTTTCTTCGTGTTCCCTGCCTTAGGTTGCAACCACCCAGGGCTGAATTTCATACATTGTATTCCAATAAATAATTAATTGAGCTGCATAAATTAACTTATATATTTTGATGTGAAGTGCTACTTTGTTAAGCTAAATACATTTTTTTTAATCTTGTATTTATTGTATGGTCCCTCTTAACTGTGAAAAAATATCTTTTTTCTTTTTTTTTATAAATTTCCAAGCATCTAAATGCTACTCACTCTGAGGATCTGTCTTTTAAACAGCCCCAAACCACCCGTCATGTAAATATTCATAACATATTTTGTGCACCTAGCATATGTTATGTGCCTCATAGGCACAGCTGACAAAATTGTAATATGAGTTGATGTGCATAGAATATGTAATATAAAATTAAGGTTGAGCCCCTGAGAGCCGGTTTACATCTGCCTTATTACTTTTCTTTAATTTCAGCTCTTGTCAATCTGCTCACAGGAAAGCTATAACTGGGTATGGAAAAGAGAATCTTAAACACATCTTCTCCTGTGCAAAAGCTATTTATTAGGCAGCATCTCTGCATTAGTCATTTTTGTGTGATTGAATAAAATCATACTTTGCAAAATTTAATTTTTAGTTTATGTTATATTTATAAAATCCTGAAGCTGATCGCCCATTGCAGAAATATATTGCACTTAACTCCTTTTTGTGTAAAGCCATTATAGTTTCAATTTGATGCTAATTTCTTTATTGACTGTCTTCAAAGGCCGTTCATTTGTTTTCTTTTAAAAGTGAGACAACTTGGCAGCTCTGGTTGAAGTTGCTTAATTCTGTGAGTTATTTATTTGGCCCAAAGTAGAGAAAACAGAAGAATAACAAGATGTGTATGAGTAATGCTGCTCTGAAGTGAGAGTGAGATTGGTGACTCAAATCTGTCCCTCCACCCCCGCACTTGGCCTCAGCGCTGTGATTCTCTCTGAGAGTTATTATAGTGTGTAGCAGGGCAGCTGTACTGTTTGATGAACTGTCCCAAGCCTGCAGGTTATATTACACTTAGAGTCTCTATGTCAGGCTCCGGCTTGTTGTCTCCTGTGGGGTTTGGAAAGGTTATTTTGCTGAACCCTGTTGACAGTGCAGGTCCTGACTTGAGAACCTTGACATCCCTACATTCTCATAATATGCCGGGCAGCTGAAAGTGTCGAGGTGGGGGTGGAAATAAGCTTTAAGGAGAGTAGAGAATACAGAGTCGTGTGATTTTTCTTCTTTATTTTGGCTCTTGGAAAAAAAAGAAAAGGAGAGCAGATTCTGTATGATTAGCTAATTCTGACCCCATGTTCTCTCCCCTCCCCCACCTCTCTTCCGCTGACTGACTCACTGATTGTGCATGTTTGACCCAGTGTTTTCCTCCTGCACCTGTCCTGTTGTATACCCTCAGATTTACAAGGAACAGCTCAACACCAGGGTTGTCCTGGTGGCTGTAGAGACCTGGACAGAGAAGGATCAGATTGACATCACCATCAACCCTGTGCAGATGCTTCATGAGTTCTCCAAGTACCGGCAACGTATCAAACAGCATGCTGATGCGGTCCACCTCATCTCGTACGTGTTCCTTCAGGCTCTTCCTGCGGTTTTAGCTGGACGTTTGTCTTTAGTACCTTATTGTATCAGTTAGCTCACATACTGGGGGCAGTGACTTCTGCAGAGCTGCTGTTGGTCCCCTTCTCTGTTCATAAAGGTAGAATTCCAAGGCTGGGACACTGTGGTTCCATGGCCTCCATCTCTACTGTCCAAGCATAGAGTTATCCTTAAGGTCAAATCACAACCCAAGGTGCCCCTGGTACTGTTGTCTTCCCTGCAGGCAGCAGGTATGCCTGACTTGGAGAGAGGCAAGAGGGCACTCCTTCTGTAAGGTCAGCATCCATAAAACAGGTTTCTTGAAAGCGTGTGTATGTTTGCTTTGCACAAGTTTGCTAGATCATCGTCACATGATCACACCTAGCCATAGGAAGTCTAGAAAATTCATTTTTAGACAACCATGGAATGCAGGTGTGTTTCTGTCAATAAAGAGGAGGGCCAGTCTCTCTTCCCAATCTTCCTCTTTCCCCCTCATGGCCATTTTCACATCTCCCATCATGGTTCTGTCCTGCAATCAAACTAAGCAGCACACTCCTTCCTTCTGTCTCACCTTTACCCTTTACTCACCTCCTCTTTCAGCCTTTATCAATTTATAATAATGAGCAATAGATATTCTTTAGTAGAAAGAGAGTCAATGTGTTTAGAACAGCATAGATGGAAATCTATTTAAATACAGGGTTGTTTGATTTTTAATTTCCTGTTAGGAGTGGCTTTTAGGGTATCTGGCATGGGAGAAGTAATATGTTTTAGGAGTGTTTATGTAGTGTTTTCTGACAGTACCTTGTTTTCTTAAGGCGGGTGACATTCCATTATAAGAGAAGCAGTCTGAGTTACTTTGGCGGTGTGTGTTCTCGAATAAGAGGGGTTGGTGTGAATGAGGTAAGTGTCATGATTTCTGTAACTAGAGCTCTGTCTTTACAACTGATTTTGTTCTTCATTAAGGCCCGTGTATACCCCTTCTCCGGCAAGTCTTCAATGATCATGTTGCGCTGTAGTGTGAGTAGCTCAGAGCAGTAAATGGAGCCCTAAGTTCATCCTGACAGCTTTTGATATCACCATGGTAGCTTTGCACTCTTATGGTATAAACATTACCTGAAAATTGGTTCAGAGATTTTTAGGTCTGTAGTTGACATGTTAAGTGTTTATAAACTTATCGATCTTTTACCTGTGACTCTTTTTTTTTTTAATTTTTAATGCTTTCCTGCATTTATTAGAATTAGCTAATTTAAATAAAAATTTTACAGATTATATTTTGTCTCTACATAAATTTTAATTTTTATGTTTTCTACTTAAGTTTGGTATGAACTAAAACAATTATTTTTTTTTATAGAATCATTGTTTGGTTACCTTTGTCATGAACATTTTTAATATGAAAGAAACACTCCAAAGCCTAGCCAACTATTTCAAACTCCTGGTGAGCACTGGGATAGGTCTCATTAGGCAGTCTCCTTGAGACTTGAGAATGCTTTTAGGCAGTGGGAGACCTTTCCTGACATATTTGAGTATGTTGAGTTGGAGCAGTCTTGGCTACTTTCATATTCTGTTCCCACGTGAAAACTTCCTGTTTTGAAAGATGCTTTCAGGGCACAGTCTCAAGGGAGAAGTGATTTAAAGAGCGTATGCCATCTTTAGACATTGTAAGGCTCTATTTAGGGACTTGAAATGAAATTGATAACAATGAAGAATTAACAACTTGGCTTTGTTGCACTCTCTCAAATGTTTTCCACATATTTTCAACTCTGAAAAACCAGTATGGTCTTCCAATGGCAGTGGCACAAGTGTTATCACAGAGCCTGGCTCAAAACCTTGGAATCCAGTGGGAACCTTCGAGCAGGAAGCCAAGTATGTATGCTGACCCTCTTACTCCATCTGCCTGTCGTTCTGTGTTTATAATGCATACCCAGTCATTGTGAATGCTTTGTTTCTGTATCACTGTGGTGTAATCAGAGTATCTCATGCCTTAAAAAATAATCTTGAGCATTCTCGATCTTCCCTGGAGATTTAACCATTTGAGCATAGACATAAAATGCCAGATACATCTCTGTGGGGAGATTATCACAGATGCAGCACACTGGGAACGAGATCTACAGTATACAAGGAGCTCATATTAAATGCTAACCACACTCACCCACATGATCACATCCAGAAGGTGAGCCCCGGTCTCCCCTCAGCAAAACCTGCCACTGGCCCTTTAAGCTTGGGATACATAGGAGTGGGATACAGTTGTCCTCTGGTGCAAAGATAGGTCAAAGGGGGAGCTCATCCATGGCCTCTAACCCATGTGGCACCAAAGTAAGGACAAGGGACTGTTGATGCCACTGTTTCCCTTGATCAGATGAGAGAAGGAAAGGTAGGAAGGGCTAACTTTTCAAGTGGGCCAAGTATTGAGGGACCATCAGATATTTAGAAGCCCATGGAAATATCTGGTTTCTTTTAAAATCAGGATAAAGTCCATATCTCATTTCTTTTAAAATCAGGATAAAGTCCGTATCTCATTTCCTTTAAAATCAGGATAAAATCCAACGCAAATTACAGTCCCTTTGTGTGAGCTCGGTAGTCAAATATAATCTTGGTACATTTTGTGGTAGAAGGCAAAGCATCACAATGGAACCTTGTGGAGAAAGGGAGCAGGGTGTTCGTCCATTGTTCATTTAATGAGAAAATAAGCTGAAATCCTCACTCTCTCATTATAATCGTGAGGGCTAGGAGTAAAAAACCTCTCTTTCCACCCAGGCCTTCCCAGAGAAGAAAACTGCATTGTCCTGCATGCTGTCCTCTGTGACTGATATGTAGTACTGTGGAGAGGTAGAACTGTATCTCTGCTCCTGAGTCCCTTTATGGTTCATTAATGATCTAGTACACATAGTCAGGACAAGTGCCCAGCAACATTTTACTAATCTCTATAAACTTTCATTTACTAAGATCGTGCTCAGACTATTTGCTTTCTTAAGGAAGTGGCCACTCCAAAGTTTCAGAAGCTGACTCAGATAGCTCAGAAGGAGAACATTGGGTTCCATAACTTAGTTGAACATGCTGGAGGCCAGTGCTGGGGTCAGCTGAGATGTTATTGAATTGAATGGTACAGTAGACTGGGATGAGATTGGTCCAAGTCTCTGGCTGATCCTGGCACTGACTCCAGCAAATTGAATTTTATTCTTTAGCTGCCCTGTGTCTGAAGGGCTTCAGTGACATTGTGCTGTATTTGTACAGATCGTCTTGAATACCATCTATCTGTGTGAACCCTAAAGCCATGCTAGGAGATAGAAAAAGAGACATTGCTTCCATTTTAAAGCAGACACCCGCCCCCCCCCCCACACACACACAAAAGTGGAGTGTATTCTCTATGGTACTTTCTCCTTGATTGAAGGGTAGACTAGAATTCAGCTTTTTGTTTCTAGCCAGTGATACTTCTAACTAATCATTGGATTTTAGAAAACTAACCAAGGTATCTGAGTAACAAAAATGAAGAGAGGCCCAAGGTATTTTTTTCCCCTTAGGAAGTAATCTATACTTCAGGCATAAGGACCATTGACCTAAAGGAAATAGAGTCTTGACATTCTGTATTGAGAAAGTTTTGCAGGAGCTGGTGCAAACTAAAGCTGTGACTTTGTCTCCCCTCCCCCTTCGTTGCTCCTATTTCATTGGGCTAGAGTGTGAATGCATAGAGTCCTGGGGAGGCTGCATCATGGAAGAAACAGGGTAAGTGTGCATTACTCTTGCATGTGATGTATGCCCAGTGCAAAAATGGCTGCATATGTAATCATTAGAGACACAGTCTCTCAGGTACTGGTCTTTTAAGCTAAGCACTTAGTATAAATTCAATAATTAATTGTCTGATATTTTAAAACTGACAGTGCTAATTCACTTTATGTTTTAATTTTTAATTTAAGGTTGTGGAGAAAAGGGAAATGTATTAGCTACTTCTATTTATTAACCCTTACAGGAATCACGTGACTAAAAGCTTCTGCCTTTAGTGGAGGCATTAATCTTTTAATATACTTAGAATGCAAGCAGATGGTCTACTTGATGCAGCCAGTGAACATCAATTCAGTCATCCATTTACATTTTGAGGAACTTATAAATGCACGTTTATGGTAATAAATTTGTAGTATATTGTTTGTAGAGTCATCAGAGCTTTTTATTTTTTAATTAATTCAGAGTCATAATGCCTAAATAAAAGAGTCACCAAATGGTGGACACTTGTGTAACTGGACCAGCTGTTCCATAGCACCAGTGGCCTGAATCCGGGTACCACTGCTATTTCCACAAGAGTCCTATACCTTGTGGACCATTGCCAGTAGGTACCCTAGGCTATAATCTGCTTTAGTGGCAAGAGTTTTCTTTCTTACTATCTTTGCTCAGGCCAAACACCTGCACACTGGGGAGTTTTGGTCCTACCATTGTTCTGCACTGATGCCAACAAAACCATCTCCTTCCCTGGGGGCCCTTCTTTCTCCTTCCATGGAAAGGAGAACGTTTATGCAGTTAGTTGTTACCCCTGCGACGCCAGAGCATAGTCCTAGAAACGCAGTCTAATCTTGAACTGTTTGCCTTCCCCGGCCATATTATTTGTGCTCCATAGTTGAGTCCTTTATGATGATGGAGGCTTAATAGGTACCATAACAAAGAATGCCATCAATATGTTGCTTTTCTATGGCAATATTATTGCCTTTTAAACTGTCAATTTCTAAATGAGTTTTGGATAGGATGTAATAAATTATTTGAATATATTTTCTCAAAGATATATTTGGTATACTTCTTCTAAGACATTACTGTCAATAGAGGTGAGTTTTAATTCTACAGGTACCCTCATACATAAAACTATTGTATTATATCCTAGAATGGCCTATTACAGACAATCTCAAGGAACCAATGTGTATGATTTAGTTTAACCTTGATGTGTGTATGATATTCCCCTGTGTGCTGACATAGGGGTCTTAATTTGATTGAATAAATCACAGAGAGGTTCATTTTTTATTCATGCTAAATCATGAACATTGCTCAATAATTGTATTTGAAATGAAGAATAAAGAGCCATGGCTCACGGGAGCATTCCTTAATTCTTTTTTGCTGTGGGCATACACACTAATAACATATGCATGTATGATCCAGCATGATCCCACGCATCCTTTATGGTTTACTCATTTACTTACATTTTGGATTGTTGAAGCCCGAGTAACACTGTCTTTAATAAATTGACCTTCCAGACTCTTTTCTGAAAAACAAGGTCTAATAGGCTGCTGGACACCCTTTTTTCAGAACAGAGTAAAAGAAAGTAAGGTCGCCTCTATTGAGACCTAGTAAATAAAAATAATCAAACTTTAAAACCTAGCCTTGATTTAAGATTTTGTAGCAAACCTTTCAAACGACATGTTTCAAGACAGATTTCAGTCAGGAGGGTTGGTAGCTTGGGAATGACCAATCTTCTAGTATGTGATGGTTTTAATTTTCCCTTCTATGGACTTATAGAAATCTTGCCAAAATCTTGCCAAATACTTGTATTGATCCATCTACATCCATTTCGAATTTTTGATAGTTTTAAATTTTTTCTCTAGTAATTGCTTTCATGAAATTCTTTTACATAATTGCTTCCTTGTTTCTTCAGGGTGTCCCACTCTCGAAAGTTCTCAAAGTGCAGCATTTTGGAGTACAGAGATTTTTTACAGAGAGGAGGTGGAGCGTGTCTTTTCAATAGGCCAACTAAGGTTAGTGACTTAATTTTCCAATAGTAAGAATGGGCTAAACATCAGAGATTGATCTCAGAAAGCAAGTCTCTTGTCACACTGTTTAACACATTACTACAAGCAATCCCCCTTCCTCAGCTTCCCAGATGCTAGAAGTTCAGGTAGGAGCCACTAAACCTAACTGATAGGTGGTCAGTTGTGGAGAGCCTCTGCATTCTCAAGATCAAGCAAAAAATCAAATTGGGGGTCAGTGCCCAGTGTTCACTTGCAGTTCCCCCAAATGCAAAAATTCTTCAGAATTTTATGCTAGTGTTTTCACTTTTCTGCTAAGGTGTAGGGAGTCAGAATGGAAAGAGCTTTTACTTAGATCCCTTTTTTGCTAATAATCTCATTTAACCTTGACATTCCTTCTGGAGACTTAGTTTTCTCCTCCCAAGAGTTTTACCTATGTCCAGCTCCACCCTCTGGGGTGATCTGGTCCCAGGCAGAAAGCATTACTGATGTCAGCCAAGCAAAATGTGGTCTTGATCTAACATTTGCAAGTTCCGTAAATACCTTAAGTATTTCTACTACAGAGTTCCCTTCCCCTGGAAGCCCATGCTGTCTGTCATTGGTGTTTCACAGGAATATGTATAAACAAAATTGCAATTCCGCAAGCACAAATTTAAAGAAAATTGTACATTTCCAGAAGAGGTTTTTAGGAGTTTTCAGAAAACACATTTGACAATAATACTAAATTTTGAAACTCTTCATTTGGCCCTCATGATATAAATATTTATTTCTTGCTGTAGAAGCATAAAATTGTTTGATTATAACATGTGTTCCAGTCCCTATGACATAGAACACTGGACCATCATCACACTTTCCTAAAATTCATCAGAGGCAGAATTCTCAAGCTGACAGGCTAGCACTTTTGCAGAAGGCTCTGTGTTTTTATAGGCGTATGTTTGGAAACGAAGCAGGCCAGAAGTTGAAAAGACAGAACTGGCAGTATTAGCAGATGGTATCGGAATTTGACCATGGGATAAAAATTCACTTTTCCTTTAGAATAATACCTCACATGTCAGATAGAGTTCATTTGTATAGAAAATGTTTGATACTCTGCAAACTTAAAGAGTGGCAATATTGTGTTGACCTTCTCTTTAAAAAAAAAAAATCGGTCACCAAGGCAAACAATGGATAGACTCATTTATTCCATACTCACAAGCAAGTGATACAGCTGGAGTTGGAATGAAAGCTTGGAACCTGACATCCTTGAGAAATCTCGGTAAAGCCAAAGCTCTGTAAATCTCAAGGGAACTGAGATTTTTAAAAGTGACTTTGCACCATTAAACTAGGCTGCTGGTCTTTCCTGGGAGTGACCTCTGGGCACAGAAACCAGAAGTCTTCAAGGCATCTGAAATGACTGAGATCTGTAATGAAGAACTCATGTGAACTGCTGGCAGTTTTGAATTACATGGTGCATGGCTAGTGTTACCTTGCCTTGCAGCTGGCAGCTAGTTGTAAGCACTGTGCTTGAGGAGACAACACTAGCTTGTTTGGAGAGGTTAAGGTTCTTTGGGATATACACAAAGATCCGTCATTACGTTTCTCAGATTACCTGTAAGCAGGAAGAAAATTATCCTGGTAACTTGGGAATTTCACACACGCACACACAAAATATGTTTACATATTCAATTTCAGAAGTTAGATACAGGATAATTTCCCCTTTTAAACTACAAATTACAATGATCAAAAAAGAAGGCCCCGTGAATTCCAGTAGAATAGTTTGTATGCATTTGTCAAAGAACTAATTTTTTTGTCCCTAGTGTTCTTAATCAATGAATATATGCATAGGCATATGTTGCTTGTTATTTTCAGTTTAAATGCATATATTCTCTGCTTCAGAAATCTTCCCAGTTGTTGTGATTTACATCTGGTTTGAGATAGTGATCAATCTCAGGAAGGGAAAAGAACCCAAGAACTAAAGGATGGGAAGCCTGGTACCAAGTGTTGGTCATCTTTCCACTGCCCTGCCTCTTTCTGCTTTCTCCTGCCTGCCAATCAAAGTAGCACGGAGATTAGCACTATTGACTCCTATTCAACTTGGCTGGAACATTCCCTTATTTCTTATAATAGTCCTTCCTGGAAGTAGTAGAACCAGGTCTTTCTTGTGTAGACTCAATGGAAGATGACTGTTGCTCATAGATGTATGGCTGCTGGGGGCAAGCTCTTTCTCTCATGTTCATGGCTCTGAGCATTTGTGTTGAGGGGTGCTGTTCCAGATTCCCCTCCTCCTATAACACACACCCAGAAGTGATAATCATACCCAGGGGAATCCTGTTCCAGCCAATAGATACAGACATGTTTGTCATAAGTAAGCTACTTTCTCAACGATCTGTCTACAATATTTTTATCCAGAAACAAGTTCATGGCACCACTGAGAGGAATAGTCTAGAAATTTCCTCTGCTATGAGTACAGCAATGACTGAGAGATTTCTGTTTATTCACATGTCTATACATTAACTTAACATATTTATTTATTTTCTTTATGAAACTAAAATTGGTATTAAGAGATTTGGTATTTGCACGTAGTTAATTTATTGAAATTCCTTAGTTATTGAATTAATTTTCTTTCTAAGCACAGATAATTCAAGAAATGCAATGGTAGGACTTTGTGTCAGACAATGCAGATTTCTTTTCCATGAGGATGATGGATTTGAATCTCTGACAACATTGTTCTAAGCTTATTGGCATTTCCTTAGTTGTTCATCTCACATTTGGTTTTGACTAAACATATTTATCTTTCTGACAGTTGGGATGTCTTCTTGTCTGCCTTTAGTCAAGTCAGCAAATTAGATATCTATGAGTCTTATTAGTAATACGTTTTAGCTCCATTAGAAAACATGGAGAGCGATCTATTTCTCTTGACAGCTCAGTTCCACAGTCACTCTAATGCTGGAGGTTGTCTCTCAAGACCCCACCAAGGAAATCCCCAGAGAGACCACCTCCTTTCTAACGTGACTTTTAAGAGTGTTATTAATAAGCAAATAGTATGACACATATTAGTAGGTAAGAGACTAGAAAGATGGCTCAGCAGTTAAGAGAACTTGCTGTTCTTTCAGAAGACCGGAGTTTGGTTCCCTGCACTGACACTCGGCAGCTTCTGTTTGTAACTCTAGCTCCAAGTGATCCAATGTTCTTTACTGGCCTCCGCAGCTACCCACATGCACGTGTGCATATACTTACACAGATACACACAGAATGCATAAGTAAAAATTAATATAGAGTAATAATAAATCATAGAAGAATCATACGATATAGGCATGTAAATGGCCAGCTTGCTGTCTGGATTTTCTGCAATAAATGCAAAAGCTTTTCTTTGTATTCTCCAATCTCTTTCAGCTGTTTGAGCCTACGGAATGTGGAAATGGATATGTGGAGCCCGGGGAGGAATGTGACTGTGGTTTCCATGTGGTAGGTGTAAGCGACTGTATCTACTTTTAGCTCAGCTCATCCTCTGAGCTAAGAAGAACCACAGTAGAGAGCAGACATGTTATCATTCATTGTGGGGTCACTGACTTCTTTTTTTTCCTTGATTGCTATGATCAATGCTTTGTCCCAGCTCAGACACGTAAGAATTAGTCATGTTGTTGTTGCAGCTGTGTCTGAAAAGCTTAATGGATTGTTCTAATCAAATTCCTGACCTTTAAAAAGTTAATTCAGAGCTCATATCCATCTCAGGCACCTTGTACAGAATCATGAGCATTTTCCCATGCTGCATTTATTTTTTTCTTTATGAAACAAAACCTGGGTATTAAGAACATGGAATAGTTACAGAGGCTTGTGTGGGGATGCCTGTTAATGAATAATCATACTCTTGGGAGATCACTCTGCCGAACAACGTGGCAGGAGTCTGTGATCATTTAAAGTGATTGATTTCTCTAAAATGTTAACGTACTGTTTAGAACTGTTGTCATCTGATGCATAAATTGCATGTGGAGGGAATACTGAACGGGCAGTGGTGTGTTCCTGGTTTATTCAAAGGAGTGTTTTCTTTAGGAATGCTATGGAGTTTGCTGTAAGAAATGCTCGCTCTCCAATGGGGCCCACTGCAGTGACGGTCCCTGCTGTAACAACACCTCCTGTCTTGTGAGTCCCCTGGAAGTTTCATCTTTCTTTCTCATTCCTTGACAAGGCAGCCAGCCGTGTCAGTATGTCTGTTGAGCTTTTGAGTGACTTGGTACACATTTATGCATGTTAGCTCAGTGATACTGGTGATTTTATCGAACTAAGGTGGGCCACAGCATACATCTCCTCTGTTACTCACTGTTTACTTTCCTATCCTCCCAAGCCTCCTCTAGAGGGTTCACCCACACCTACAGCCTCCAAACTAAACGAGTTACCCTATTAACATAGATGAACACATTAAATCATAGGACAGAAGAGAAACAATTCTGTTGGTCTTTTAAATTCCACAACCTATTTTCAACATTCAGTTTTTAAAACTTACCCTAATTTGTTTTAAACACATAGTATAAAAACTAGTGCTTATATCTCCCACTTGGCTTTCTGAATCTTATAGCCAGGTTAGGAACTACTTACATATGGTCACATATCTGCATGTGCGTATGTGTGTGCTTCCATGTGGGATGTGTGTGTGTGTGTGTGTGTGTGTGTGTGTAAAGTCTTCCACCTTCAGTGACTGACAGTTCTTTTCCAAAAGTCATTACCCCTTTATCTCATATGTCAGATCTATGACATTTCGAATAACTATAAAAACTACATGATTTTATTGCTTTTTTCCAATACCAAGGGAGGTTCTACATCATGATATTTATTCTAAGAGATTTCAACTTAATTTGTGCTTGCTTCATATTACCTACCAAATGATAAATTGCTTGAGGCTAATGAGACTTCATATTTTTCCCATCCTTTGCCAGACAAACCAAATATTTTGTTCACCATAGGCTGTCATGGATGCCTCTGAAGGTGATTTATATGAATTCATTGTAATTTTGTTGTGTGTATTTATCTAAAGCAAGATTAATACTCAAACTAATGCACAAATTAGTTATGGTTGGATGTGTGTGTGTGTGTGTGTGTGTGTATGTGTGTGTATCCTTCAGAGAAATCTTAAATATTTAATGACATTATTTTTGTTCCTTTGTGCTAAGCTAAACCAGTGCTTCTTCTTTACATAAATTTTATCTCATCATTTTCTCACCTCAGTATGTGGAGATGGTGCATTTTACAGTCTGCATTGTAACTATACTTAGTGCCTGTCTGATGCCCACCTCAGTATAGGATGAGCATCTGAGCCTCATTTCTAACCTGTAATGATTTACAAATTGTGAAGCGTGTGTGTGTGTGTGTGTGTGTGTGTGTGTGTGTGTGTGTGTGTGTGGTGTATTATGATAAAGCCCAGGCTTGTTGGTGGATGTAGGAATGGCATCTTTGTTGAATACAGTGAATGCTACCTCCTGATACTGTGTTTTACTTTGTAGTTTCAGTCACGAGGGTATGAATGTCGGGATGCTGTAAACAGCTGTGATATCACTGAGTACTGCACTGGAGACTCTGGCCAGGTATGGAAAACCACATTTTATCTTTTATATTGTGCAAGACATGTTTTAAATCTTTCAATAAAGACTGCGAGTGTAGAACTATTTGGGTTTCTTTATTATAGATTTGTTTTCTAGATATTTCTAGCTCTCTACCAAACTATTACTTAGGGAAGTTTGGTATTGTATTTTGGGATTTTCATCTTTCTTTCTCTTTTTTTTTTTTAAATTCCCCCTTCATAAATATCTTTAGATGATTTATACTCAATTCATAAGGTTTTTAATCCTTAGGTTCCCACATCTTACATGCTGTTTTCAAACATTTTGAACAAGTTTTTTAAAAAAACAAATGTTGGAAGGGAGCTGTTGTAGGAGACTGGGACCAAGCAGAACCACTGTGTCTGGGAGCAGAAGGCCAGGTTTCTCCACCACTGCCGCTGGCCCCATGCAGAGGCCTGCTTCTCGCTTCTGTGCTTTGGCATGATTTCGGTCCATTAAAATGATTATAATGCTGTAATTAATATTGACTTCTTGACTCCGTATTTGTATAATTTTAGTGCTTTTTATTTATAGCATGTTATTATATGGCCCTTTTTGCCACTCAAATGAGCATCTGTTGAGTTACTTGCCAAGTGCTGCTGTAAATGCCAGGATATAGAAGGGAACATGGTTGTTGAGTTCTTCCTCTAGTGAAACTTAGGTTCTGTTGTGTGTAGAGAGGCAATTAAATTAAAAAAAATATATATATATATCCATATATATGTGTGTATGTATATGTGTATATATGTATTTATATATGCTATATATATTTTTATATTATATTTTATATTATATAAGGTCCTGTTGTAAGGAGAATGTGGTGGGATATTAGGTTGGGATAGTAGCTGTGGAAGGAGTTAGTTTCTAAGTAAGCAGCAAATGTATAGGCCTGGTTTCTTCAGGATGTGGAATGAGAGCTGCAGGACAGAGGCAAAGTTTCAAAGGATGTCAGGGTTCTGGCAAGGGGACCTGTATGCCACAGTAAGGATTTGGGATTTCATTTGACTTGCTTTCTTTCTGATGTGTCTTCAGAAGTTTTTCCTGTGCTAATATCTTGTTTTATGATGGTATGCAAATTTGTCAGTTGATTTTTACCCAGAGATTACCTATTAGATTTCAGTAATTTTTCATTGTTTTATCAGTATAGAAGTAAAGACTTCTATGCATTTGGAGGAGTATCTCTCCTGCAGGGTTATCTCTGTAGGATATGTTTCCAGGACTGGAGTTGCCAACTGCAAGGTAGACTGGTGTCCACTGGGGTTACGATGAACATGGTGCAGTTTCAAGTCAAAAGATCATGTTATAAAAATGAAAATGGCTGGCTTGAGTTATAGCCTTAACTTAATATCAGGGCCACGTGAATCTTCCAGGAGACCTGGGTTTAAACTGTAGCAAGTTACTGACACAATTGTTTCTAGCATGGCTTTCTTGAAGAGGCAAGCCCCTCCATAGCAGATAGCCTGAAGAAGCAGTGGACAATGCTTGCTTCCCACCCACACTAGACTTTCTGGCTCAGAGTGTCTAATTATTCTTCACCACCTTATCAGCCAGTCAGTACAGTAATGAGAAAGCAGAGTGCTTGGCATTGTACTGAGTTGCTGGAAGGGAACATGAGAAAAGAAAGGAAAGATGTTAATTAACCTTTAGAAAGGTCTTTGTGTTATTAACCACGGTTCTGTTAATGATATAGCACATGGAGATATATCCTGACTTTATTTATATGTGTGTCACTCTTGTGCATATGTTCCTCATATTTAAGTATATAAACAGATTCCTTTGTGAGTTTTTTTGTATAGTGTAGTGACAGAGTACAAGAATTTTGGATTCTGCCTTTCACTAAGTGTAACAATTCTGATGTACCATTTGACCGTTTGTTTTATAGTATTATTGCTACTATTATTATTGCTATTATTGATAGTATTTTTTTTATAACTGCAATATATGTCCTCAGTTCTCGTGTTCAGCTTTTTTTAGAAGCATAGTTTTCCAATTCAAATTTTAATTCCTGAATGCTTTGTAGTCTGATGGAAATAAGGCTTTTAACGTGGGGATGTTGGGGCTGGAGAGAAAGCTCAGTGGATAAAGTGCTTGCTGTGCACGCCTAAGGACCTGAATATGGATCCCCATCATCCTCATGAAAGCCAGATGTAGAGGCACATGCCTGTAATGTAGGCATGGGAGGCAGAGACGGGGGACTCCCTGGGCAATTAGTGTAGCTGATTGGTGAATTTTTAGTTCAGTGAGAGACTCTCAAAACATAGGTATGGAGAGTGATAAGAAGATTTGCAATATCAATCTCTGATATCCATAGGCACACATGGATCATTCCAGTGTATACATACCCACATACACCGCTCACACACACATGCACTCACACACATATACAATATATGTGTGTATATACATATATACACATACACACATATATATTTATGTATGTATATATATTCATTTACACTGCACACATACACATACAGAAAAGTAAAATAAAATAGGGACTCTTTCCTCAACCTGTTTTATTCTCTAAGTAATGCAGTTGTTTTCTTTATACTTCATGTGTCTTTGGTGAAAAATGTATTGTTGTTCTTCCCGTGGCACATTAGAATAGAATGCTATTTTATTAATAATTTAAAAAGTGTGACCATCATAATAAACCCAAAATAGGCAGTTAAAGTAGAAGGGAGTAAAATCTATAATATTTTCTTCTATTTTATAAAAGACAGTGAAATTTGACTTTATTGATATTCAGAGTTTTTATGAAAGTAGAACCTCTACATCCCTGAGAACTATGAGCTGCGCGGCTGCATTACACCCTTATCTTTTTTTTTTTTTTACTTCATGCTTTTAGTTAATTTTTATATTAGCATTTACTGATATCTCTGAACTCTGTTTTTCTTTTCTTTTTTAAACACACACACACACACACACACACACAAATATAATAAGATAAAGCAGAAACCATCATATTGAAGTTAAACAAGAGCAGCCAACAGAAAAATAAAAGAGCCCTGAGAGAAGGGACAGGAATCACTCATCCACATGTTTAGGAGTCTTGTAACGGCACTAAACTGAAAGCTGTAGTAATTGGCAGAGGGTTTACTGCACACCCTGGCAGGCCCTGCAGTTGCTGCACCAGCCTCTGTGAGTTCATATGAGCTTTGTTCGGTTGTTTAGTAAGATCTTGTTTTCGTGGTGTCTTGTCTCCCCGACTTCTTCACCTCCTTTCCCACAGGGTTTCCTGGGCTCTGAGGGAAGGGATTCGATGGAGACATCTCATTTAGAGCCACGTTGAACTTTCTTTTTTCATTGCACAGTTTATGACAGACTAATCAATACTCAAGCAACTGAAAGAAATCCGTAGCACAGTGCGGTGACATAGTAAAGATATTTGAAAGGTGTGTTAATGGCCTCTGCGAGCACTGGAAATTAGTGGAGGATTGCACAACTTACAATAGGCACCACTGAAACTGCTTCTGCTGGATCTTCCTGCCTGGCATTCCTGGTGACCCCGGGAGCAGTGGTGCCAGAAACTCCGGAGCATCGCTTCACGGAAGCGAGTGCCCAGATCTGTTCCTGTTCTGAACATCCTTAGAGGATGTTAAGAACCTCTGGGTGATTTCACCATTAAACATTGCAGTGATTAGCAACCAGTTTTATTGAGTATTTATTTGCAGCCCAGCCTGGCCATAATCCTTCCACCACCACCTCCTGACTGTTAGGATTCCAAGTGTCTCAATTACTTTTCTATAGCCATGACAAATACCATGACTGAAACAACTTATAAAAGACCTGAACACTTTTGCCAACTGGGGACCAAAGTATTCAAATATATGCACCCGCAGGGGGCATTCTCATTCAGATCAGCACCGCAGGCGTGCACGGCCACATCTGTCTAACAACTGGCTTTTCTTAGCCTAAACTAAAACCAGATTGATTAGGAATTACAGCACATGTACCTGTGACAGTTTATAATGAGGGCTATTTTTTTTTTTTGTCAGTAAAGCATTCTCCCTTTTTTCCCCTTCCTTCTTAAGACATCACAAACGTGATTTGCCTCTTCTAGGAGCGTCCCACGCCCCATTTCTGTTTACCCTGGTTGTACTGGTTTCAGGGTAAGTGAATAATTTATGATAGTTGATTAATGAGATAATGATTTCATTCCGAGGGAATCCAGAAAGATGGAAGAGGCCTCGGGGATCTCTTTTGTGTGGTTTGTTTACTGTCATTGTCGCATCCCTGGGATATGCAGGACCAGGTAGTGAAAAACTGTGGCGACTGCATCTGAAAAGGGCTCTGCAGCCTTTAGGAAGACGCAGAACAGACATTTTATTGCTGCGTCCTGTAGTGTGTCAATGCTCCTGAGGAAAGCTACATGCATCTTTTATCTTTCTTGTGATGAGCTCAATAAACGACCCTATGCATGCAGCATAAAATAACTTCATTTTACCAGTATGGGTGATCCATTCATTTTCTGAGTCAGCTAGTAGTAATTGAACACCCACCACATCCTGGTGTTTTGTGCAGCGGGAAGCCAGACAGAAAACCCTGCCTGCATGGAGCTCACATAATCATGGGAGCAGAAGCAAACAAACTAGGGAAATATATGGATTGTCAGGTGGTGTAAATGCGGTAGAGAAGGAAAATGTAGCAAACGGGGAAGAGAAGATGCCAGCCAGCATGGGAGGGAGCTGCCAGTGTAAAGAACGTGGTTAGAGGGTGATAGTTGAGCAAAATCCCTAAAGAGAAGATGGGATGACCCCAGCAGGAAGCAGGCAGTGGGCTGGCAGCATGCCTGGCATCTCGTAGGGAATCACATCAGCCATCGAGAGAGCTGGAAATGAGGCCAGGGAGACGGTCTGGTGTGGATGGGAGAAGCGGACCACATGCAACTTGGAGGGCTATTCAGAATTTTTGGGCAGGGGACCAACACGATCTGGTGTTCATGTTTTAATGGGGACAGTACCGGAACCAGGATGGAAGCAGGGAAGGAAGGTCGGAGACTACAGTCCAGGTTATAATGTTGGCAGCTTAGACCTGGGATTATATGGTAGAAACTGAGAAGAGTTGACATTACAAGTCAACTTGTATCTGAAGTGAATCTGAGGATTTGCAGTCATACTGGATGGCACGTGTGAGACAAAAAGACAAACTGGGGAACACACAGAGGCTCTGGTGGGACCTCAGTGAATGTCCTTAAGCTTCCTGCTCCTTGTCCTGAGGATTTTTTGTTTGTATTTGCTTTCAACCTCATGGCCCCTGACCTTTCCCCCACTCTCTTAAATGTTTAAAAAGTATAACTGGAGTCATTCTGGTTAACTTCTGAGGAAAATGAAGTGAACTTTAAAATGGTGTCATAGATGGTTTGGTTAAAGCAGCGGCGGCGGCAGCAGCAGCAGCAAGCCCTACTTCACCATAGATTATTCTAGTAACAAGTTTGGTTTGAGAGGTTAGAGTGATACTGCACTTACACTGATTACATTGTGCTTCAAGATTGTTTCTTTTGCTTTTGCAAAAATGTGCCATAGGCACATGTCACAGTGTCACATGCAGATTTGACATTTACAAGGAGCTGCAGCAAGGTCTTGCAAATTAGTTCTTAATGTGTCCACTCCTTCGCAGCAAGGCGATTCATTCTCCTTGCTGCCCATGTTAGTCCCTTCTGCTTGAAGCTTCTTGACAAGTGAGCGTTATTTGCTCTCTAGCCATCTCCTGGTAAACAGAACAACATAAAAAGAATTAACCGCATTAGACTTCGTTAATGATAGAATTAAATTAAATAATCCATTAATGGCATTAAATGTGCTCTTCTAAATGTTCCTAATTGTACATTTGCTTTCTCTTGTTTTATTCTATTAAACACATTTTCTGAAATGTTTTATGCGTCTGTACCTCAACTAAAAAGTTAATATTTTTCAGTGCCCACCAAACCTCCATAAACAAGATGGCTATGCCTGCAATCAGAATCAGGTACGCTGGGCTCTAAGGTTTCAGTGTAATTTAGAAAGGATTAGTGTCATTTCCCCCTCCCTGCTTTCAACAAATGTTACTTAGGAAGAAAGTTTACGCAAGTAAATTGCAGTGGGATGCTGCTTTACATCACCTTTAGTTCCTTCTGAATATTACGTCTGTTTAATCAGTGACAAATTGTCCAGATCGAAGGAAAAGGAGAAGACTGCAATGGGTGAAGGAACTAGGAGTCGCTCTTGCTGAGTTGTAACCATCCATAAATAATTTCAACCTATTTGGCTTAAAAAAAAAAAAAAGACAATAAGCCTTTTCCTAAGTCAGTATTAAGAGTAGCTAAGTCATTTTGGTCTCATTTGCAGAATGGTACAAATATTTTGTTCCCCATAAAAATTAAAGTTTCAACAATTATTTTACATTTAAAGAGACATGCTGTGCCGTGTACCCAGAGCTTTACATTTTAATGTGGCAGAGCTTCTACTTCTTTGATAACTTTGTTTCTTATTGGCCACTGTGAAAAGGCTTGAGTAGCCAATGAGGAGAACTTTGTGTAACTCACCCAGAGCCGGACTTTGTAGTCAGATTTTGGGGACAATGGCCCCAGTGTCCTGTGACTCACAATGTGTGTTCTTTCTCTCAGGGTCGCTGCTACAATGGCGAGTGCAAGACAAGGGACAACCAATGCCAGTACATCTGGGGGACAAGTAGGTGGCATCCTCTGGCCTGGTGGCCACACAGAGTTTCTTTTCTGTGGTTCTGCTCTTCTAGTCTGTGACAGAGGCACACAGCATGGAGTGATGCACAAGGAAAGTCCAGCGAAGGACGAAAGTAAAGAGATAGCATAAAAGTTAGGCGCAGGCCTGCAGGTGTAGTTCAGGGGCAAAGAGCATTCGAGGTTCTGGGTTCAGTTCCCAATATACCTCAAATAACGCTGCGGATGCAGAGACCACGGGAACAGATGTCCAAGTGAGAAATCGTCATGGCAACCGAAGTGCCTTTCATGGACCGTGGCTGTTAAATATGGGATGTTGCAGCTACCTGGGACAACAGTGTTGAGTGCCATGATCATAGCCTCTGTCTGGCCACTTGCATAATTGCATAGTTTACTTTGTACCTTTCTGGTTTACCTTGTGAGTGTAGCAGGTGTGGTTGAGGGGTAGGTTTTTTGTTTGTTTGTTTGTTTTTGTGTTTTTATTTTGTTTTTTGTCTGTTATTCAATGTCAGTAATAACATGCAGGAATTTCTTTGGTTGCAGACAGGACCTTGGTTGCAGACAGGACCATGGGAAAGAATTACAGACACTGGGAGTCAGTCGCCTTGCATATTTCCCCACCCACCCTGTCAGCCTGCTTTCTTATACAATTGAGCAGCACCTGCCCAGGAGAGGCACCCCTAGCAGTTGCTGGGCCTTCCCTTATCAAGCATTAATCAAGAAAATGCCTGCAGACTTGCTCAGTGACCAGTCTAATGGAGACAGTTTTTCAACTGAATTTCCTTCTTCCAAGCTGACTCTAGTTTGTGTCAAGTTGAAAAACACTAACCAGAACAGGAAAGCAGAGAAATGAGACTCACTAGCTAGCTAAAGCTGGCTCTTCCAAAATGGAAGAAAGTACACAGACGTCACATAAATGACTTCAGTGTTTGGCAGGTGTTATTCATGTGAAAATTTTAACTTCAGTGCTTCATTTCTGTAACGATAGTAAGAACATAACATCTTCAAATTTAAATATCAAAACTCAAATGCTGCTATAAAATCTTTGCAGAGCCAGGCATGTTGATTCATGCCTGTAATCTCAGCATTTGGGAAGTTGAAGCAGGAGGATTACTAGTAGTTACAGGTCAGCTTGTACTACATAATGAGATCCAGGCCATCTGGGTCAAAAAAGTGAAGACTCTGTCTCAAAAAGATTAAAACAGGCATAGCAACCTCAGTGAACTGAAACTTTAAAAAAAATTAATCCCTGAATGTTGACATAAACAGGATTAAGAAGGCTGGAGAGATGGCACAGTCATTGAGAGCACTGGTTGCTCTTCCAGAGGACCTGGGTTCAACTTCAGTTGTGGTTTACAACTGTTAGTAACTCCATTTCCAGGAGATCTGATGCCTTCTCCTGGCTTCCTTGGGCACCGCATGCACATGGTATACAGGCTTACTTCTAGGCACAACGCCCATACACATAAGACATAAAACAAAATGAAACAGGATTAAGAATACAAGCTTGTTTACTGTGTGGTGGTGCTGTATGTATTGCTGCTAGTGATTTTTCTCACTGGTCACTCTAAAACCCACCAGCAAGATCTGGTTAGAGATTTCTCACATTTCAGACTGTGCTGTGCTGGAGCATTTTTGCACCAGCTCACAAAAGTTGCTGAAGTTTGGAAGTTTTAATAAATCAGCAAAGGGCACATTCAGAGCTTGAAATCAGCGCTTGCTTGTTTCCACCGTAGGAACATGCAATCAAGTTTCCTTTTTGTCCTCCTACTGGGAGGCAGTTGATGGACAGGTTTGTGGCACCCCACTGAGTGTGAGTGGCCCAGGGAACTAAAATGTGTTTTCTTCTCTCCTCCATCTCTGATAGAGGCTGCCGGGTCAGACAAGTTCTGCTATGAAAAGCTGAACACGGAAGGCACGGAGAAGGGCAATTGTGGCAAGGATGGAGATCGGTGGATACAGTGTAGCAAACAGTGAGTGGGCAGCCCCTGTGGGGTATAGTGACTGCTTCCAGACGATGTAAAAGCAAAGTGAACAAAAGTAGGGACTTGTGGATGCACAGTGTGTCCCTATAGGAACCATTAAAGAGTTAACTACCTATGCACTATTAAAAATAAAAGTAGATAACTGTATAAAGGGGATAAAAAGCATAAAATAACTGTACTGCTCTGGACTCTCTTGTACTTCGGATCTATGTATATTGTTTCCGTCCCTCTGGGAGATGTACTTAGCAAAATAATGGCCAGGTCCCAGGGATGCATATTTTCATTGTCATCAGATGACATAAAATGGTTGTGCATTAAGAGACTCTGCTGTAATACACACTGTCGTCACCAATCTGTGATCTTACCAGATTTATAACGTTTATCAACTCTAGTGGGTGGGAACTGCTATCTTGGCATGGCTTTAATCTGCATTTCTCAAGCTTCAAGAGGCATTTCCACATTTCCATGCACCATGGGCTGTGGACTTCCGTCTTAGTGACTTGACAGTTCACTTGTTTGTCATCATCCTGTGTGACTCATTGTTTATTGAACAGCTAGGCTAGGGAGGAGGTGGAGGTATCCTCATGACAGGTGAGTCATGTAATGTCCCCAAGGATGCAGATCACTGTTCCCCTTCTGGTTTACTGTGTTGACTTCTGAAGTCTTACTCTTGTGAGCTCACAGTTGTCAGGTGGATGCAAAAGCTGCACATTCAAAGGTGGATCTTCATCATGCTCTTGCTTTTCCTCACATTCATTTCTAGGCAGGCTGTGCTGCCCTCAGCTCTAGAGTGGGGAGGGAGGATGCACAGGACAGGGGATGTCAGGAACAGGAGCATGCTGCTATTGATTGAGAATACCACCGGTCCTTCTTTCATCAGTGCACACTTCACTGCCATGAGTGAAGCTGTCGTCCTTTAGGCAAGGGAGTGGGGCTGGCACGGCTACGACAGTGTATTAGTGCTTTTATTCTGTAATGAAAAGACTATTAAGGATCTGAGGACTGGAAATAAGGCTCTATTGTAGATTGCTTGCCTAGTGTCTGCAAGGTTCTGTGTTTAGTTCCCAGAACTGTAACATGTAAAAAACGAATGTGTGTGTAGTGGTGTTTTGAGCTGGATTCTTCTTGTCTTCTGCCTTCTCAAACCCATGCAGCGATGTGTTCTGTGGATTTCTGCTTTGCACCAATCTTACCCGAGCTCCACGTATCGGTCAACTTCAAGGAGAGATCATCCCGGCTTCCTTCTACCATCAAGGCCGAGTTATTGAGTGCAGGTAATGCAGAAGTCGGGACCTAGGGAGGAATGAGGATCTCAGGTTTCCAAGAAGAAAAATTTAAAACATGGCAGATCAAAGATTTTGTAGTTCCATCCTTTCTCTTCCACGTAAAGAACCACTTTAAAAGTTGATTTACGGGCTGGAGAGATGGCTTAGTGGTTAAGAGCACTGACTGCTCTTCCCAGAGGTCCTGAGTTCAAATCCCAGCAACCACATGGTGGCTCACAACCATCTGTAATGAGATCTGATGCCCTCTTATGGGGTGTCTGAAGACAGCTACAGTGTATTCATATATAATAAATAAATAAATCTTTAAAAAAAAAGTTGATTTACAAATTTCAGTTACCTAAAATCATAGTGGTTATCAATAGTTAAGACCTTTTTCCGAATCACAATCTTAGGAATAGAGTTATGCTCCAAGTTATAACCCATGTATCCAAAGCTCAAGGTTAGAAGTGTTCAGCTTTTAGAATGTTTATAAGTGCACAGTGAGGTAGCATGAGAATGGGACCCAAAACTAACCATGGGATTTTTCATTTATACCTTATACACACAGGCTGAAAGGAATTGAATCATTTGTGTATCTATTTTATTGACATAGGACCTAGGAACCATATATATTAATTGAAATACCTCCATATAAGCATACAAAACCTATTAATTACACCCAACCATCTTTCCATACCCTGCCACACAGTCTCAATCTCGACTCCTCTGTCTTCTACCATCAAGCCAATTTTTTAAAGTTGATACATGTATGAGAGGGTGTGTTGTACGTATCGTTCTGTGTGGAACTTATTTTACATCTGTTCTGGAAATGACAGGCTTCATTCTTCTTTGTGGCTAATACTGTTATGTTTACACCATATTTCCTATTTCTTTTTTTTTTTTTTTTGATTTTTCGAGACAAGGTTTCTCTGTGTAGCCCTGGTTGTCCTGGAACTCACTCTGTAGACCAGGCTGGCCTCGAACTCAGAAATCCGCCTGCCTCTGCCTCCCAAATGCTGGGATTAAAGGCGCACCACCACCTCCCGGCCCATGTCTCCTATTTCTATTGATGGCTAGTTAGATTGATTATTTATCCTGGCTATTGTGATAATACCATAGGAAATATATAGTAGTACTATCTGGTATTTAAAAGAAACCCCCACACTGTTCTCCTGGAGACTACTAATTTATGCTCCCACTCAGAGTGTATTAAGGGTCTCTTTTCTCCTGACTCTAGCCTGCATTTGTAATTATTTTTTAAATGACAACTGCTTTAAGTGAATTGAAATGACATCTGTGTTTTGAACTGCAGTTCCTTAAGTCATTTTAACTTGCCTGTATTTGTTGGCCATTTATGTTTCCTCTTCTGAACAGTGGTTTTTTTTTTTACCCAGTACTTTTAGCATGCCTGCATTTTAACTTTGACTGTGTTTTAAGTAGATGTTTTCACTCCTAGCATCCTGTAAGTACTCAGAAAGTTTTAGACTTTGGAACATTTCAGAGTTACTGTTTTGGATTAGGGATACTCAACCTGTACTCATTTTATCCTTGGCTAAAAATTTTGAACATTGCAGCATATCACTATTTGAATACTGTGTTTCATTTTTCATAAAACATTCAATTTAAGCAGTATTTTATGCTGCGTGTGTCTGGTTTAGAGGATGGCCTAACAAGCACCCAATCATATATGGAAAACCGGTATTAAATGTTTTTATTGATGTTACCACAACCCCCCCTTTTTTCCATACCCATTTTTTATGAGCATAGCACATAGAGCACATAGACAAGAGGCTTGTGTTTTCAGCCAGGAACCCGTGTTATGTCACAAATAATTACCATTGCCATCAGAGTAACCAGGGTTCTTTGGTGGCCTCCTCTTGTTCAGAAGCACTGCTGTTAAAATACCTTTGGGATCCTACCACAGAACTGACATACCATCAGCCCTTTATTTTCACTACCCCAGATTTTCAAACCACCTTTTCATGGGAGTGAATAATTGTTTGAAATTACCCAAGAGTAATTTTGCACAATTTCATGATGTCTTGGTCAGATAACTGCTACTTTTCCATCTTGTTAAATGGCTCTAAAGGTAATTTTAACTAGGTCTCAGAGAATAAGCCCCTCACTGGGAAACATCTGTAGTGTTGTATCTAGACCTTCCATATACACAAGCGCTCTTCCATAGTGTATGACCTCACCTGTCTGTAATACAAGGTGCCATATTGGTAAAACATTCAGCAAGATTCTCTGTTAATAATTATATCTCATTTCTAACTAGCATCCAAATTCTAATTACCCCTAACTTCAAAACATAAGAAGTAAGCATTAGTAAAGAAGACCTGGCTTTCTCTTTTAAATTGTGATAACTCAATCCTTTGAGGTAATAATACTAATTTTCATATACCTTGCTTTGCTGTTTTTGCTCAGTGCTATTTTCCTCCCACACTATCTTTTCCCCACCAGACCTTGGAGAATCAACGACATGCTTTCTTCTGTCTACACTAACACCTTTCACCTATCCTTAGTATTGAGAACACCCAAAGAGTTAGAATGTTTCCTGCTGATAATCCTTGTTCCTGATGATGTGGGCTGTGAATAATAACAAAAGGCAGTTTCTTTCTTGCACGTTTATTAAAGATAGATAGGAGGGAGGAAAAGTCTTGAATAAACCCTGGCTACCTTTAGCAGTCTCTCTGTTTCATAAATCGAAAGCCATGTTCCGGCTGGTACTGTGTTGTTGGACGGTGTGGCACTTATGTTTACGTGGATCACTGTTGAGGTTTGGCCTTTTGCTAGGTATTGTAATGCTAAGTACCGTCCATGGTTGCCCCAGGGATGAAGAGATTCTTACCTTGCCCCCAAAGTTAGCCCTGATTGGTCAATAAAGATGCCTATGGCTGGTAGAGGGGCAGAAGACAGTAGGTGGAGTTTCAGTTCCTGGGCTTGGGGTCTGAGACAGGAGACCCTGGGGGATAAGAAGAGGTGGAGAGAGGAGGATGGCAGTGGGTAGTTGAGTCATGAAAACATGGCCATAAAGGCTGGCCAGTTAGAGATAAGAGCAGCCAATATAGATCACAGCAAATTGTAACTAAGGGTTATTGATAGACGAGTAAACATTAATAGCTTAGAGGGTAGATATCTGCCCAGGTCTGATGCTTTAAAGGCTTTTCATAAACATAAAGGATTGTGGCTTTTATCTGGGAACTGAATGATCAAAGATGGGGTAGACCCCACCCCCGATTAAATATTTAATACAGTAGGTTACTTTCTGCTTTCAGTGGTGCTCACGTAGTTTTAGACGATGATACAGACGTGGGTTATGTAGAAGATGGGACGCCATGTGGCCCCTCCATGATGTGCTTAGATCGGAAGTGCCTACAGATTCAAGCCCTAAATATGAGCAGCTGCCCACTTGACTCCAAGGGTAAAGTCTGCTCAGGCCATGGGGTAAGTAGATATCAGTGTTACAGTTTGACTCTTCATTGTTTGGGACCCTGAGTTCACAGTGATAGTTAGAACTGGTAGTCAGACACAGCCATTTCTTACTGGGACTGTAGCCAGTTCTTGTGCCCTGATTATCATCATATTCTTAGTGCCTTCATCTGCTAAAATAATCATTTATAAGTTAATTTGATTTATTTTGTTTAGTTCTCATATCATTATTGGTTATGTGTATTGATTACCTTCTCCAGATACAACTTGACATCCATGTTAATCAATAGTCTGTAGAAGAATAAGATTAGTCTTCTGTCTGTCCATCCATCCTTTTATATATCTATCTGTCTAAGAGGATTTATTATGAGTAATTGATATTATCACATGATTATGGAAGCTGTGCTGTCCACTGTCCGCTATGCAAGCCATCGGTATGATTCATTGGTATTCTGCGGACATGAGAATCAGCAGAGCTGATGTTCTGGCAGTGAAGAGGATGAGATGAAGTTTCTCAGCTCAAATACTGAAAGGGGGAAAAACTCAGGCTCTGCTCAGGCCATGGTGGGATCTCAGTCAGCTCTCTGGAGTTTACTCATTCAGATGTTGCTCTCAATGGACATGCTTTCATAGACACGTCTAAAAATGATGTTCAAGTGGGCACCCCATAGCCCAGTTAACATGGCGTGTGAAATTAGCCTTTACAACATCTTAACAGTTGGAAGAAAATTGATATGGTTCCCAAGGGACTGTAGACTCTGTGTTAGTACTTTTTTTTTTAAAATAGCACAAAACAACATAGGTCATATTAGTGATTGAGCTTCATCTCAGATCACACTGAGTGGATCTCCACAGGCGAGTGGATCACAGATGACATTCATACTTCTAAAGATGTACAGTTACACGTGAACTCAGTCTCCCCCCCCATGCAAAGATGCTGTCTATATTCAAAACTGTATGTAGCTTTAATTCTGTGACCAGAGTATTTAAGAATGTTGCCTTTCCTGGAAAATCCAAGTTTAGCAGCAATAATTAAAAAATATATATATAATGGTAATTTAGATCGGACTTAGCAAAATGAATGCATTTCAAATTTATACAGACTTCAGAGATTAGGAAAATAGACACAAAGAAACAGTGATGATAAAAAAGGGAGATGCTAGAACGAAGGTAGAAGGAACTCAAAATAGAGACACAGAGGGGAGCAAGGCAGACAGGACCAGGAAGCTTCTCTCAGGACCAGGAAGCTTCTCTCCTGGTGATACTTGGTTAAAGCACAAGCTCACAGGGAGGCCGGGTAGCCTGGTGTGCTGGTCACTCTGCTTGTTAATGTCACAAAATATCCAACATAAGTAACTCCAGAGACGAGGCTCAAGGTTCAAGGGACACAGTCCAGCATGATGGGGATGGTGTGGTGGCCAGGAACTTATTCCTCATATTACAGAGCCCAAAGCAAAGGCAGGGACCACATGTGCTTAGCTATCTTCTTTTTTATTCAGTCTAGAACCCCATTCAATGGGGTGGCTCTGGGTCCCACACTTGGGGGGGGCTTTCCTCCTACAGCTCCTCCTTCAGAAACACACTCAGATACACGCCCCCTCCCCAAAGGAGTGTCTTTCTCATGCCCTTTAGGTATTTATTAATCCTAAGAGGATGACATTGAAGTCAGCCTTCCTATCCAGCGACTTAAGAACATGGATTCAGGGGCTAGAAAGAGTTTTGGATTTAGATCTTGGCTATGCTTCTTTTATGTCTTAGTGACTCTGGGTGGGTACTTACCCTTTCTCAGCCCTTAGCTGATGATGGTGTGTGGAGTGACTGAGAAGCTCAGCAGAGGAACCTGACACGTAATGAGTATTCAGTACAATTTCTATCCAAAATAAAATCACCACGCAGACTTTTTAAGCATTTTAGTCCCTGCTCTAAAAATAAGAAACATAAAAGCTCCTTGCTGTTTTCCCTTGTCCCATCTCATTTTCACCACTTTTTAAAAAGCAAAGTTCAGTCTTATTAATCATAACCGTATATCACAGTTTCTTGGATTTAAAAGCATTGGCATTTGATTTTATCATTTCTAATGGCAAAAGGGTCTTGGCACCTTTCTTTTTAGTTTGTGGAGTGTTTTATTTGATTCATGTAAATTGCAAGTCTGTGCCATTTGCTGCTTGGTAGAGGGTGTCAGCCTGCTTGCTGGGAAAGAATGCCTCCATAGATGGTGGGAGGGTGAGGAGTGCTCACCGGGCAGGCAGAGTGCCACCAGATGCATTGGGCACGGCGAGATCACGCAGCATGTTAGTGATTGTGTTTCTTGGTCTTTTATCTTGAGGATTGCCCCTGGAGCTTGCTCCCTCTATTCTCTGGGGGTTTTTGAGCTCCGTGTCTGATAACTTACTGTAATAAACATGTCTATTTTTTATAACTATTCCTAGAAATAGTTGCTTCAGGGGAAGTAAATCTACTTTATTGGACATTTATGTATCTAAATATATCTAATACTGTGAATAATACAATTTTAAAAAGTTTTCTTCATCTTAATCACAATTTTCCATAATTACTAGGAATCTATTCAGTAATTTGACCCATGAACCTAGTCCTTAAAGCCATGGGAATGTTTTGAAAGCCTTCTTAGTGATTTTGAAAGATCTCTTCATGCACCCAGTGCTTAGATTACGCTTATCATCAGTGGTCCACACGACTGTGTCTCTCTCTCTTCCTTCTCCTTCGCAGGTGTGCAGCAACGAAGCCACCTGCATCTGTGATTTCACTTGGGCAGGCACAGACTGCAGCATCCGGGATCCAGTTCGGAACCCCAATCCTCCAAAGGATGAAGGACCTAAGGGTTTGTATGATTCCGGTTTTAGATCATTGCAGACTACTCATTTTCCCTCTCCCACTGCAGCAGATCACTGCTTCCACGGCTTTGGAAGGAGACACACAGGTTTATCCTTTAGCCATGAAGATGCACAGTCCTGTGTGCATCATAGGTTCAAAAGCATATCTAAATTACCTCTTAGCTTGGAACTGAATTAAGAAAAGTAAATATACTGGCTTCCTTTAATCCAGTTTCTTCTCTGCCCTTTAAAACTTACACTTTCCCCCCACTTTCCCAAAAGCCAATTATTTTATAATTCATCTAAGCTGTTCCATTTTCAAATAGGTACAGTCTGTGGGGCTGACACGAGACTTTTATCACTCTTCCATATCACATTCTCTCCAGAGGAAAGTTGTAGTCTTTTATGCCCCGTTCTAACAAATTCTTTTGATTCGGTAAAAGAGTCAGTTCTTCAGATAGCTTTAATTTTTCAAAGGAAATGTAAAAGGTCTGAAGCTTTGTTCTAAGCAGCCGCTAAGAGAAGAGAGAGATTAGAATTTAGCATAATGAGTCTGTGGCAGTTCATAGTCACTGTGCGATACTGAAAATGAGAATGCTCAGGCCCCGAGGTCAGGTGACATGCCCGTTACCAAGGCAACCAGAGGCCAAACTGGGAGCACGCTCAGTTTCTGTTGCATCATTTTACAGCATTGCCTATGTAAAAATGAATATGACAGTCATTTTCTCATTATTCTCCCCTCTCTCACCCCCTCAGTTCATTCCCAAAGATCATGAAAAGCTGTCAGTTACAATAGGCTTTATGTAGCATCTAAGTCTCGAGTTCCCGGAAAACAAACTATCGCTAGTACCAATTCTGACATTTGACCATGGCGTTGTACCTCAGATTCTTTTTTTTTTTTTTATGGTGCTGCTAATAGTATCCTATCAGTTAACCGCCATGACGTTTTCTTAAACATATATGACTAGCGTTGGGTTGATCAACCTTGCTTTGGATGAAACATTTAAACTCTGAACTTTAGTGTGTTCTTTATGGGAGTACATGAACCTCAGAGCAGCTGAAGCTTCCTAGACTACAGTTCCTAAAGAGATGTAGCCTGGATTGGATGGATGTGAGCTGTTTCTTAACAGTGGGCATGTTAAAACACACTTCATTCCTTTGCTTAATATGCCCGGGATATTAAAATTCTATAAGAATAATTATCACACCCTCACAGTCTATTTCTGTTTTCTCTGTTTCTAAAAAAGAATCCACTCCACTTCTACATTCAGGCTTTTGTCACTTTAAAACTAGAACAAAACATTCTTGGATCCACCTTCAGAAGTTAGATTTGGAGATTTAGACCCTGACAAGAGAAATGAGGCTCCTTCTTCAAACCCCCTGCACAGCACAGCCGTGATTTTCAAAGATACGCCGGTGCTGTTTGCTTCTGTGACACACAGACGTGCTTGTACACCGACTGAGTTTATTTACATTCTCCTACTTGTTAGGTGGGCTGCGGCTTCATTAGCTGTTTCTATTTGCCGTTTCTTCACCTGCTCATTCACCAAGAAATGTCAAACTCAGAACCATGAAGCAAACAGCTACTCTAGAGGAGAGTGTTTACGGCTGTTTTTTGTTTGACTTGCTCTCATTTTATGAGATGGCAGTCTTCATTATAGTTAAGAAAATAGTCCCCCTTTTATGGTAATGCAAATCATACATGGTCATTACAAAAAATAATCATAAGGAAATCCAAAGGGCTGTGAAAGACAGTAAAAATTACCCATAGTGTGCACCTCAGACTGCGGGCCTTCTGGTCACATGTTTTCTTCTTTCTGCTTTTGCTGAAGGCAGCAAGTCATAGGTGCAAGTTGGTTAGATAATGACCAAAATCAGTGTGAGTTTCTAATAATTTTGATTAAGCAAACATGTTATATAAATGAAAACTAGCTATTTTGTAAACAAATATCCAGTCAAATCAAAAAATTTTAGTACAATTAATTAATAGCTCTCTGTTTGGGGGGCTGGAGAGATGGTTCAGTGGTTAGGAGCACTGACTGCTCTTTCAGAGGTCCTGAGTTCAATTCCCAGCACCTACATTTCAACACTTGGGAGGCTCAAGCAGGGTAATCTTAAATTTAAGGCCAGCATGGGCTGCATAAGAGTTCTAGATGACGCTAGCTAGTGAGACTATCCCTAAAACAAAACAATGTATCCACTTTGCTCAGTGCATACTGTGGACTGTGATGGAGTTTTCTTATTTGGTGGCTATCGTGCCATCACTGTAACAAGAGAAAAGACAAGACACTGACTTGTGTGGGCAGGGATAGTATGCCTAGGAAGGTTGGACCAGACCCTTTAATGAGGACCATTGTCATCAAATTATAGATAGAAAGGACCTTGAAGGCAATTCATCCAGATCCGCTGCTTTACAAACGGGAAAACGAATTATCAGTGCTAACACCTAATTAAATAAAATGTGATCACATAAGCTTAACCCCAGTATCTTTTCTGCTGCTTCCTCATTTAAAGCAGAATGCTAAGTCCCTCTGCTAGTCCTTTGTGCATAAGAAAAGAGAAGGAATGTCGGTAGCCAGGCAGTGATTAAGCCCATTAGAGGATCAGTTATTTACCAGCAATGCTGAAGAAATGAAGTACATCATTAGAGTTCAGAGCTTTGAAAACAGTGATTTTAAATGTTTATAAGACACTAGATATTTTTTATTGTAGTCTTTGCATATAGCCTTTAGGGGAGTTTGGTATGACAAAGCCTTGATTTTATAGTGCTGATCACTAAATTAATCTTGTATGTGAGTATGAAGTATTATGTATAATTATGCCAGGCATTTATTTAATTAACCACAGACTAGATTAAAGATCTACCATATTCTACAATATTTTAGTACCATTTATTGATTCATAAAAATACAGAAAAGTCTTTGTATTTTTGTTAATAGTATGACTTACATTATTTGTCTTTTTTCTTTCTTTCTTTCTTTTTTTTTTTTTTAGACAGGATTTTGCTATGTAGTTCTGACTGGCCTCAAACCCACATTCCTCCCGCCTTAGTCTTCCAGCTGCTGGCATTACAAGTGTATGCCATTATATTCAGCTGAAATAGTGTAGGTGAATTAGTTAAATTGCTTTGGCTCTCAGCGGGTTGCTCTTCCAGCCACCAGCCCAAGAGCTCTCTGGATTTGCAAATGAAAGACAGTGTCTCCCGGTAAACTAAAGTTGAACTGTTTTTATTACATGGAAAGGGAGAAGGAGATATGAATTTATATCTAGCACACTGAAATTTCGAACAAGATATTTTTATAATATCAGTATTTTGCTGTTAAATAAAGGAATTTATTTTGTGTTTATTTCTAACCTTCAGTTTAGTAAAGCAAATCCCTGCAGGAAGAACTGTGGCCTAGAGGCCACCAGAGATGGCTTTGCTAACTACTGCCTTTGAAGTGCCAAGGGATCAGGCATGTAGAGCTGGTCCACCCCTTTCACATAGGCAAAACACTGCCTCCTCCTGATTTGGAAACTGAGAAAGGAACACTTTCAAAAGGAGCACCATTCTTTAAATGTGTGAAATCTAACTTACCTGTGCAGGAATTCTACATGCAAAACAGAGACTCTCCCCCACAAAGGAGAACATTTATAGTTTGCATCTTAATATTACACTCTTATCAGAAGTTCTGGGTTTTTTTGTTTGTTTGTTTGTTTGTTTTGTTTTGTTGGTTTATTTTAGGACCAGTAAACCTAGAGAACAGGAAGCAAGACTGAAAATAATAAATATACACACACACACACTCACACACACACACTCACACACAAAGATACTGTGGTAATAACCGTGATCTATGGGCACCGTGTAAAGGAGGGCAAACGTGTCAGACGGGGGGGGGGGGGCAGCTCAAACTTCCAAAGCTAGGCTTGTGTTCATCAGCTGTGAGCCTGGGGAGTGCCATGATCTGAGTCATAAGAGAAAATTAATGTATGTTGTTGTGCACACAGCATAGAGCCTAGAAGTAAGAGAGACATTTGCAGATAAGGAATGAATATGAATGAGAGAATTAACGAACAAAGTCAATACGGTGTTAAATCAACGACTGTGGAAGTAAAGCTACAACGCGAACTTCCTTCCGAAGGCCCAAGGAAAATTTTTTCAAATTTTTCATAGTGGCCGTGTTCACAAATATGTCCCCTGCAAAATGGTGCCCACCTGAGGGTCACTCAATCAGTCCTTGCCAAACAGATTTGGAAACAGGCCAAGTCTGAATTTAAAGAGATAAAACTTTGTTCTGGATCATAGCAAGGGACCTGATGGATCTTTACTTGTGCCAGAGCTGACCACGTGATGGGAAGCACCCGAGAAAGATGAGTTCTGAGAAAGCCATTCTCCACCCCATCTCATTTGCTTTATGTTAAGAGCACTTATCTGTTAAGAATCTGAAGATAATTATTCTTTCTCAGTGTTGATTAAGGCTCATCATCTGCCTGCCTGGAATACGTGCTTGAAGCATCTGCAGGATTTTTTTTTTCTTCTTCCCTGATCAGGTTTCTAATACATGCACAGTGGGCTGCCTAGTCCTCCCGCGTCTACAGTGAGGAATTACACAACAAACATAGAAGAGTTTGCAAAATCGCTATCCATCTTTCGTGTGGTAGTTATAATTTTTTAAATTAACAAATATTAAATTAACATCACATCATATGGGAGAGGAAGGAAATGTTTTCCTATAATTTATCAGACTTACCTCATGTGAGAGTTGAAGGGAAGATAGGATTGACAGCTTTGAGAGACGGTACTTAAAAATTAAGCTCCTTCCCCCCAAAAGTTATGAACTAACATACTTGTTATCTTAGCATTCTGAAAGCAGCGATTTTATTTCAAAAAACTAGTCAAGTTTTATGTTTGGAATGCCTTTCCTTCCTAGTCTTTGTCTCCACAGTTTGGAAATCTGAAACGTAGTTTGAGTCATTTTGAATGGAAATGTGGGCTTCATGCCATCGGCCACCACCTAACTGTCTCCCCTCTTGGGCTTCACTAGACTTTCTCTGTTTAATGTTGTGTCTCCATCTTTTTTATTTTTAAAGGGCTATCTCTGGTTGTTTTTAGTTAATATCCCTTAGATTCTTGTTTATGTCATTTACCTTGTGATAAACTGAAGAAATTCAAAATTGCTAAGCAGGCTTAGAGATCCAATATCCTCTCCCTTTGGGGGTGATATCCTATTAAACAGTCCATGAATGCAATAGGAAGCATTAAACAACTGTGACCATGAGTCTCACTTTCAGTCCTGTTCCCCTGTGTTCACAGAATACAGTCAGTCATAGAATACATAGAATACAGCCCTGTTGAAGTGAATCTGTTCTCATCAGGAAGGTCAATTGCATTCCATATCTTCAATTTATGCAGAAACAAGAGATACGGTGTCTGAGATGGTTCCTTTTCACACTTACAGACATGCCTGACCCTAAATAACATTCCCTCCTATTTTAATACCTGACTTTGTGTAACCCATGTGGAGAACATGTTGGGGATCTCTACCTGTTTCAGGTCTGTTTCCCAATATTGGAAAGCTTTGCACAGAAGTGATGGTGTACGGCTGTAGAGTGTTTCTGCTCTGCACTAAGTGCTTGGCAGTCTGCGGCAGCCTCTGCAGTCTTCAGAGACCCTCTCTCTCTCAGCACACTCAACAGTTATACACTAGGATCTAAAGTCCAAGAAGTAAATTCTCATTTCTTATGACAGAAGTCCAAACCTTGCAGTTATTCAAAATATGCTTTCCAATAAATTCCCATGTAAATGACACAGAATTTTAAAGCTACTTTATTGGGTGTTTATGAATTTTCACAAAACTGAATGATATGTTCTCCATTTAAATGATGTTAAGCACATTTTGCAGTTTGAAAAATTTATAAAGCATGCATCAATGGTTAGTTTATAATTAAAATATAAATTTGCCTTAGTGCAATTAAAGATTCACCTCATACTGCTAGGAACTATAATTCAGAACGGATTACTTATGAGCCTAAAAGTATTTATAAGACATTATGTTTTAAAGTTGAGCATGTAGAATTTGGAGATAAAAATTATCTTTTGTATACTCTCTGATGTATGCCCATCTCAGTTTCAAACTTCTGAGCAAAGATATTCATACTTAGCTTTCAAAGCATTTTCTGGAGAGATTGTTTTGTATGATAGTGAAACCAGTGTGTGATTTTTCTCTGTTTTAAAAACAAATCTCCGTTTTTCCTCCACACAGTGAACTTGGCCACAAGCAGGCTCATAGGGGCCGTGGCTGGCACCGTTCTGGCCCTGGGGGTGATTTTTGGAGGAACAGGGTGGGGCATAGAGTAAGCATCCTCCTGAGTGTCTGCGTGTCTCACTGTGGTGTGTGAGGTGACTCTGGCCTGGTCTCTGACCCCTTCCATGTTTGTCTTGTCGATGTGTCCCGTGCTGGTATAGTCTGTGATGTGTTTTGGATGTATTGTGTCTTGTGACTTGACATGTTTCTTGTGCACCATAGAACCTTCTCCTGTCTGGAACAATGTGGGGCATAGAACAGTGTCTGGTGCTTATTAAGGCAAGAGCCCAAGACTCCCTTTGCTCTCCTGCTTGCAAGACTTTCAAAGTACAAACATTATTATTATTTTTTTTATTTTTACTATTAATTGGCAGAATGTTTTATCTGTTTCATAGAAGCATTTTAATGGTCTTACTTCACTATTCAAATAATTCCATATATACAATTAGGAGTACCAACAACTCTCGAACTGTTTAAAGGCAGTGAGAATGATAGCCAGTTAATGTGTTTCTATGAACTTAGACCGACATGGTAGGCTTCAGCTCCATCTGTGTGAGGATGACATCAAGGAAGACACTTTCTCTCCCCACCTTTTTTTGTTGTTAGAAAGTTGTTTCAGGGTTCAGCTTTGAAGTGTCTGTACACATTGGAGCAAGGAACATTAAAAATGAAAATATATTAAGTTCAAACCTGTGCAGCCTTAGCAAACAGCTGCAGTTCATCTGATGGTCTTATCTTTAAAATATCCAGTGTCTGAACCAGTGTGTTGTGCTTACTTGCCCATTAGATTCCCAGAAGCGCAGCTCTCCTGATGCTCTGGTTACCTCGATCTGCACTTGATCCTCGCCCTGAGATTGTTAAGCACAGACTAGCTCATCAGGAAGCCTTTTTTTCTTCAGCACCCAGAGAACATTTACTCACACATGGCAGAAGTCACCCTTCACACCCTGTGTTTTCTGCTTACTGGGTTCTGCTAACACTTCATAGCAGCCCCCCTTACCCCCCAAAACTATCAGCGTCTCAGGGAGACACCAGCTTGACTTAGCTCAAAGAATGAACAGGTACACTGTTGGCACAGCTCTCAGTTTCCAGATGTGTTGGGGACACATCTGCTCTCCTTACATACCTTAGTCAGGCAACTTGGGTACCAAGGTAGCAGTAGGAAGGGGGCAGGTGTGTATGTTACACAGGACGCTATTCTACTGTAGCTGCAAGCCCTGGCCAGCCTTGTATCTTTTTAAAAAAAAGTTTTGGAGACAGGGTCTCACTTTATGGCTTATGTTCATCTAGTACTTAACTGGGTAGCCTAGGCTGACCTTGATCTTGCAGCAATCCCCCTGCCCCAGATTTCTAAATGCTGGGATTATGATATGAGCCTTCATACCCAGCCTAGCCTTATTATGCTCTTAACTCACAATCCCTTAGTTACTGTGAAGCATTTTAGATCAGAAGGAGGAACCCTGGAAGAGGGCTTGTGTTTCTCCTTACCTGTGAGAAGACGGAGCATGTAACAGTGCTAAAATGATTGACTATAGGAACTTGGTCCTGCAAGTTGCATCTTGTGACTGTTAGCCAGATGTTCCTATCCCAGGGCCAAATTCTAGACACATGTTCATGTGAAATTCTTCTTAGAGGAAAGACAGTTTTTAAAAGATCATCTCAAATATGTTTTTTACTTAGTGGCCACAGTTTCAGTGCCTTCAGATATAGCCAAAGTCATGAAATTTGGTCATCTGTCCAGTCCTACAGATGGACAAGATAAACAAAAATCTTTATTGTAAGCAGTCCTGTTACTTTTGTTCCCATCCATCCTTTCCAGTGGGGCTGATGTGTTGCTATTTATGCTTGTGACAGGTAAGTGTCTAAGTGTGTGTTTTTTTTTAAACCAAAAAAGACTTGATGTTCTTGTTTCATGAACATTTTGTCTATGGTTTATTAACTTTCCCCCCTTCAAGTTTCATTGTAATTGATATATAATGAGTTTTTAGAAAATAGAATCATATAGTACAGTATAGTTTTTTAATGCTTACTGGTTTCACTGACAGTGTGATGTTCATGTAACCAGTAAGGTTTCCATGGACAGATTAAAAATTTTTAATTCTAATATATAGTTTATTGAACACCAGGGATCACTTTTCATGGATTCTGTATTGAATCAGATCCTAACCTGATCTGAACCAGTGAAGTAAATCTGCTTAATTGTGGATCCATACACGATACTATGAACATAATTTTTGAATGCTTTCTCCAAATTTCACTGTGGAAAGATGGGGACAAAAATATGTGGAGTAGAATGAAGTTTCATCAGAATAGTCAGAGCAGTCATTTACAAACTTCCTATAAAGGGCGGGGTACAAATGCAGTCACTCACTTCCTATAAAGGGCGGGGTGTAAATTGCTTTGTCTTCCAAGCTGTGGGGTATTCATCACGATTTCTCAACAGTGCTGTCAGCAGCAACCATAGTCACTATATATGCAAAAAGTCATGGCTGTGCTACAGTAAAAATGTCTTTGCCCAAATAGATAATGAGGCCAGATGTGGCCTGTGGGCTCCAGCGTTCTGACCCTTAGCTTATAACACAAGTCTTGAAGTCAGCCAAGTCCATGTTTGGATCTTGCTTCTGTTACTTCTTAACTTTAGAACTGCCTGGCCCTTCATCTCTTGAGCAAGATGGTTCAAATTTCTACCTCACATGTTCCTTTGTGAGGAAGATTCCACGAGACGATATGTCTAATGTTCAGAAGTGAGGGCAGTCGGTGCTCACTCCAGTCTCTAAGAAGCCTTTATCATTCTCACCGCTGTTATTTATTGTCCTTCATGTATCTCAAAGGCCACAGAGATGCATGCTCCACAGACCCTCTGTGATTTAAGAGCGTGTCAAAACCCAGGAACCAGATAAGACCCCCATCCTGGAACCTACCACCTTCTATCCAGACACTTACGCTTGAAGTGCTGTGTGGCTTCTAAGCAAAACCATCCCCTACTCAGCTGTGGAGATGTAAGACATGGTATCCACTTATGTGAGAAGAAAAGAGATTATTCTGCTCATCAGAGAATGAATGTCTGTAAAAAAACAAGAGGGTTTTAGGAAAACCAGCGAAATTGACTACTTTGTGACTTATAGGCAAATATATGTAGTTGGTACTTGAAGGTATTTAGTTATTAGCAGGCATTGCTATGCGTATGCATAGTAAACCCTGGAGGATGTGAAATTTCCCTTTCATTTTTAACTATGTATAACTGTCTTGATTTTGAAGGCCAAATGAAGGAGAAGACTGCAGTTACTGTAATTCCTTACCAACTTTTAACAGTGATGGCCACTTCAATTCACATTATCATTTCTGATATCTTCTCCACTTTTTAAATATATTGCCAAGTCTCAAATGTCTCTTTATGAGAAAGGGGAATATAAAAAATATATTTCTCAAGTGGAATGTAAAGAATCCTATATCCCCCATTTCCTATAAATTGGCTCATATAAATTTAAGGTCTCCTTTATCTGCAAGTTCATTTTGGGAGCTTAACACTGAAGAAATATCTGAGAAAAAAAGTTTCAAAGCCAGATCTTTACTGGTTGACCTCTTCCAACTGAATTCTCACTGTCTCCCAGTGCAAAGCAAACAGCATTGAGAGTGTGGTGTGTCAGATGGAGGAACACTGTCATGGACTCCTTTATCTTATGTATTCAGCAGCAGATGGGGCCAGGGCTAATGGAACCCTGTTCTTTATCTGCACAAACCTGTTTGATTTATCATATGGGTGGAGAGGAGAAAGAGACAAAACGTATATGAAAGCAAGCAGGGTTGGTTTGTTTGACGTTTGGAGGAAGATTAACCTAACTGAGTTTAAGATCAGTGGGAAAGAAAAGGCAGACTTAAAGATAAATAATCCAACCAATCAGATGGAAGTATCTGACGTGGGATTAAGCTAGGACAAGAAAGCATCAGGGACCTTGCACAGCAGGGTTTTGCTTCCTGAAGCTGCTTACCTACCTTTCCGTTGTGGTGATGAAAGTAGTTGGCTCACATGACTTTCTTCCCATGATCCTCTGTCACAGGTCCTAGCGCCACCAATCTCATAATAGGCTCCATCGCTGGTGCCATCCTGGTAGCAGCTATTGTGCTTGGGGGCACAGGCTGGGGATTTAAGTAAGCAATGCCGCATGTCTTCTTCTCTGTGGCTCGGGCACCTCTCTTTTCTGCTTACGTAACCTGGTTTTGAGTTCCTGCTACGAGACTTTGGTGTTGACAATACAACCACAACAACAACAAAAACTACGCGCTTTTACTCAGAAGTGGGTTAGAAACATAGGACATACATGGAGCTTCAAATGTCATCTTCAGGCAAGTAGGGAGGTACAAGCTATGGAAAGAATTCACTTTAATTTGAAGCCCAAGCCATTCTAGAAAGTAAAGACATTTTACCCTGTGGGAGCAAGCCTCCTGGGGTGCTCTCATGTGCACTTAGGTGACCAAGGAAACATGTTGCAAATAAATACACTTGAATTCATAATTGTTTCTGCTAAACACTGGTTTATAGTCCATTGGGGTTTTCCGTAACCTCAGTCACCACATAACTGTTGTTTCTTACATGTAACTTTGTGTTTTGAAAACCTTCATTTATTTACTTAAAAATATTTTAATTGAAAGCAATGGCTTCATGGCATTTAATGCAACATTGACATAGCTGACTGGCCTGCTATGCTTTCAGGATTACTTTTATTTTGGAGTGCATATTGATACTCAAGATTGCTGAAGTAGACCATTCTAGATAGTTGCAGATAAACCCTACTGTGTTTAAAGTTTTTAAACCTAATTTATCTAGTTTGGATATTTTGCACCTTTGATTCTTTAGAGAGTCACTTTGAAGCATTTTGGGCCCTGGTTACTTGATTTTTAATATTTGCAGATAAGGATCCCTCTACCATGTAGTCTCTTTTATAAATTAAGTTTCATCCAGATTGATTGGGATGAATTTAAGTGGAAAATGAAGCCTGTGGTCAAACTTAACCCCCCCCCCCACTTTGCTTTCATCTAGCCACTGAATGG